TTGCAGCGAATGAATCTTCCAAGAATTCAGCATCCAAAATATATTAATGCTTGCATGTCCGAAACTTTGTGGAATAGTTTGTGTTATCATGCTAAACGCTGGAAAAATGTTGCAGTACATCTCGAAAAATTGCAACGCATGCAGGTTTCCTTGCTATTTATAAGTCTTTTTTTTTGAATTTCACGAAAATTATGACGTACGTAATTAACTATAAAATTTATCAAAGATTTCATTTCTAGTCTAGAAGAAAATTATGATGGTGAATTTATTGGAAAGAATCATGTATGAAAAAAAAAGATCGCAAGTTGACTATAAACTAAAAATTTAATTAATATGAAAATGTTCAAAATTACTACCCTTTTAAAAACAGTTTTTAATTACAGATTTATTTGATAAAAAAAAGAGAATTGATAGGTAAATAAACATTGAGGTTGAATATGGATTACCACAATATGAACCACCATCTATAAAAATTTTTCTTGGAAATGGTTTCCGAAAATTGTGGAATTCTGTTCAAGATATGAAATTAGCACGAACACGAGACTGGATAAATGGCATGTCAGAAGAAGATATGAACATTGCAAAGGAAAAAATAAACGAATATATTCAAGTAATTAAAGAAAATTTAATTTTATAATTAATAAAATAATTGAAAGATTTGTTACAATTAATTATTCAATAATTTTTCAGCAGTATGAATTTGATACTGAAACAAATGAATTAAATGAAAAACAGTTTCTTCAACAATTACTTTGGCATTCAGAACGTCGTGGAGAAGCATTTCTGAAGTCAATTCCGACAACTTTATTTTTTTACAAAGGTATGCGAGACTGCATCAGCGAGACTAATGGCCAGTACCTGATAATTGATATGTGTGCATATCGTCAAGCTTTACATACATCATGTAATGTAGAAGATACCAATGAAGAAGAACAGTAACATCATTGCCATAATGATATTTATTTATTGTAAAAATAGCAAATGGAAACGATAGATTTCATTTTTTAGTTGCAAATTGCTATCAAACATTTGTTTGATAACATCGTATTATACAAGAATAAATAACTACTCTCTTAAATAATTGTATTTTTTAAACTGCAGTAGTGTTTAATTAAATTTCTTCAGCTAACAATTCGTAATTGTATTGTCGTAGTGAGTTAGATTTATATTTGTGATTTGTAAAATGTTATTTATTAGTTGAAAACATAAGATTAAGCAGAAAAAAAAGTGTTATTGCATAATTTAACAGTCAGTTATAAAGCAAACAAATCGCTTCAATGTCTTGTTTACACAATTGCAAAAAATCTGCAAATAATTAAACTTACAGCTTAAATATCATTTCTTTATTAAAAATGTTTCATTAGCAAATAAAAGTAAACTGAAAAAAATAAACATTTACTAATTATATTAAACTTTTAATCCTATTGTGATTTTTTGTGTATTTAACAGATTTTGTGCAGTGAAGACAAAACTTGCAATGTAGTACTGAAAAAATATTTTTTTAAAGCTTTGTAGTCCGAAAACATTCTAAATTACATTTGCTTCAAAAATTTTAAAAACCCAAATTGAATCTTCTTGCTACTCATTGAGATCATTGCATATCATTACTTGAAATTTTACTGCTTACTATTTATTGTTCTTGCGGTTTTTATTTTTTTTATTGCTCTACAACTTATAAAGTTTTTCTGCTTTTTTTTTGTTGATGAAAATAATTAAATCATTGAGAGCCACAATGTTAAGTTTCTAAAATTGAGGTCAAAGAAGAATCAGAGCGGTTTCAGATGTTTAAAAAAGTAGTAAAAACGCAAACACATACATGAATGTTAATTCCTTGCAATCAATCACGATATCATTTTTTCATTTTTCCCTTTTTGAATAATGTTTCTTTCTGTTCAAACTGTTTTAAACAAATGGTAAATACATTTTTGCATAGTTTTTAAATCTTATCAAGTTTGAATGTGCCATTTATAGACCAAACACTTTAATTAAGTCATATCAAATCATCTTAATTAATTTTTATCTGAAAATTTGCAAGCACTATTTAATTTTGTCAGTAGTACAGTAATTCATGGATGGAGCTCTTCTACTGTCTACAAATTTCTGTAATACATCGAAAAATTATTCATTTTTATCAGTTATTTCTGTTTTATTCTGTCATTTTCTTAATATGCAAGAATTTATAGCAGTTAAAAATTTCCTAATGAATCTTATCTTTTCGTGGAAGCCAAAGGTAAATGATAATAACTGTATTAAACAAGAGATTTGCAATGATATTAGAGTATGTAGTAAATTTTTGATAAATTATTATCAGTATAACTGCGATTATAAAGTGGTTATCATGCATATATAAGCAAATGTAAAGAGTTTTTTTGTAAATACTATCAAACATTCGTTTCTATAAAAGCTATTCTATTTATAAGAATGTAGTAGAACTTTATAATAATGATAATTTAAATCCCTCGGCTTGCTAATATTTTCATTTCTGAAGAATTAATTATTCATTTTTTTTCTGCCTCATCACTGTTTTTTTGATTATTCATTTTACATTGCATAAAAAATGCTCGTCACTTCTGAAAATCTACATTTTTGTTAAATTATCTATTATTAATGTAATTCATGTTTAATAACTAAAATAGCGCTAATCAATATAATTCTTATAGTGCAATATTTTGGTAGTTATTTTACGTGGTGAAGTAATAATTAATTTTAATCTTATTATTCTTGTTCTAGAAAAAGTGGCATACTGACCTAAATTAAACTTCACTCTTGCGTTAGAGAGATACTATTCTATAAACTACTTTTTTTTTGAAAAATTTCATATAACCAAGTAAAAAAGCAGCAAGAATTTTATTTTTTCACTTTTCATGCTTGCATAATAATTAACCCAAAAGTTGTATTTTGATAACTATACAGCCAGTTACGAACTGGTTTTAAATTAATGATGAGTAATTGAAAAAATTTAAGAAATATATAAAGAAATAATAACAATAAAAATTGTCAACTTTTAATAGGTTACCGAAATATGTATTTAAAGATACTCAAACTAAGCTATAGTGCAATTATTACGCTGAAAATATTGATAATTAGCAATGTTAAGGGTTTTGTATCATTTTTTATCATCAGTAAATTATGCTTTTGCTTTTGTGTTCTTAATTCAAACAAATTAAAATTTTTGAAAACAAATGTATTCAATCGTATTTTGAATTTCGTTTTTGTCTTGCTTTTTACCAATTCATTTGAAAAAGTAATTGACTTAAACTTAAAGTTTTGAACCTTAAAAATTGCTTCAGTTTAAATTTAGAAGTAATTTAATGGCAGATAAAGCTTCGATAAACTAAACACAATAGAATATTTTCTTGCGTACAAAGTCGTTTTAGTGAAAATTGAAAATGAAAGTTTTCGTTGATAAACTTGTGGAAATAGACAAATCTATCAATTTTCACTGTTCATGCATGTAACAATATTTCTGATACTAGTAAATAATGCCCCGATTTGAAAGTGTCGCGCAGCTCACACATTTTCAAATTGTCATTTCAAATTGCTCACACATTTTCAAATTGTCAAATTCAATCGTGTCACATAAAATGGATTAAAAATTTTTAAATTATTTGTTAATCACAATCAGAGTTTCAGTTTTATGCTTTCAAGAGAATATACGGAACTTTGTTTCATGATTACAAGTTTAAAAAGAAGAACACATTTGAATAAATTTCTATTACCTATTTCGATATCACGAAAATAATATTTGTTATTATTATTGTTATTATTATTATTATTATTATTATCATTATTATTGAGTTCCAAATAAAAATTTTTTCAAAAAATGATTATCACTGCAGATGATCATAAATTTATGGATTGCATTTGTTGTGCAAACGGTCATTGTACTTGTATGTACCGATGAAACATCGCATGAAAGTTTGTTTTATTTACGTTTAAATTACTGAAATAATTGTACATTATGTTCTTCAAACGGATGATTTTTCGGGGTATAATAGTTGCATTTAAAGTTTTGAATACTTGCTTGTATTACCAGAACATAATTAATGAATATTTTTTTAAATTAAATTTTAAATTTAGTTAATTTCTTAATTAATAATATTTTTATAATTATTCTTTTGCGAAAAATTCATCATAACTTTGTTAAGAAGTGATAGATGATGTAGTCTCTAAAATATTTGATGATGCGCGTCAAGCGATTGATGAACTTCAACAACATGATCAACTTCTCCTACAGAAGGATATAAGTTTGATTTTCTATTTTTTCTGCTTTTCTATTCAAGGAACTGAAATATGACTCAAAAAATTTCACTTTCAAGCTTTAATAATCTATCATCTATTGAACTTACTGAACTAAAAATTAAAATGCAGTATTTAATTTGCAATAAGGGACAGTAGAAAATTAATTCTGAATATATTTTACTTTTCGCAAATTTTATGTTTCTGTAGACCCATTAGAAGACATCGAAGGACCATTGAGACTATGGAGCTTACATTCAGGATCTGACTCGGATGCATCAAAACTAGCATACGCTGCTCTCATCTCTATTCTCGCCACCAAAAAATTAAAAAAGTTTTCACGTTGTTACACTTTTTTATATTTTTGTAAACTGCAACCAGACTTTTACAAAATTTAAATAGAATTTTAAATATAATGGATAAAATGATTACTTCTCCAGTTGGATAAAATTAAAGTTTTTGAAGCCAAAATATATAATAACACATATTTTAAAATTATAATTTGAAAGAAATGTTAATGCTATCAAAACTTTTTGCGCAGTCAATAATTTTTTTATAAGTAATTTCATATTAAACGCTTTATATAAAAAACATCTAGTATTCAAACAAACTATAAATTACGATAATTTTTGTAAATTTAAAAAATTTTTGTAAACAAATATTTACAGTGCTGAGATTAATTCTACAAATAGTTCATTACATTTGATGAAAATTTTGGAAGAGTACTGTCCACTGCGTCCAATTTTATGCAATACTGAGAAATACAGATCCATTGATGGTACATGCAATAATGTTTTGCATCCACTTTGGGGCGCAAAGGATACAGCAATGCAACGAATCATTAATCCTTTCTATTCTGATGGTATGTTTTATCATTGCAAGTATAATTTTAACACCTTCATTAAAAAATAATGATTATTTAGTAGTATTTCTTATATGCTTTATTGAGATTATTGATTGAACCTAAATTATTTTATTTATCTAAAATTTTTGCCAAATACTCATTTGAGCTCTTTATGCTTTGCAAATTCTCGTCAGATATTGAGATTTTACGCTATTCTGTTTACTTGTATTTAAGCAAGTCTATTCAAAAATAAAAAGTTGATACTGTAGTGCATAAAAAGTTATCAGCTTTTTTTTAACTTTCCAAATTGTATAAGTGATCAATAAAAGCAAATCGTTGGTAAATATACTGAATTGATTTTATTTACAAAATGATTGATTGCACATGTCAATATTCTTCTGAATTTTTCAAAAATTTGTTCATAGTTAGCTAGCAAGTTAGTAATTGCAAAAAAAAAAAAGAATAAGTACAACTTTTTCAAAAATTGCAAGCTTTAATTTTGAAAAAGTAAAATGTTAGAGTAGTCAATGCAGAACATGAATGCACGTTCAGAAATTGAAAAAATGCGTGTTTCGTCGGTTGATGGAAGTGTGCTACCAAATCTTCGTTATTTATCTAAGATTTTAATGGATAAAATATATCCGTTTACATCAAAAATAACAATGCTAACTGCACATTGGGCACATTTTGTCTACAACGATTTGGTACGCATTGGAAGTCTTCAACTTTTTTATGGTTTGCACAAATTTTTTCAACTTTCTCTTTTAAATTTTTTTTAAATTGTATAATTTTGGTAGCACAGCTAAATTCACTAATAAATAAACTTGTGCACTATAAAATGATCAATATTCACCTTAAAATAATTGCTGATCAACTTTTTTTTTAAACGAACAAAACTTTGTAGCAGTTATTTAGATGGAAAACGCATTCCATTGCCGTGTTGTTCATCAAAATTCAGTCATCATTCTGAATGCATGCCAATTACGGTATCAAAAAAAGATTCACTATATAGCGATAATTTGGAATGTATACCATATACACGTACTGCTCCTGCACCGCAACCAAATTGTGATTTGGGCTTTCGAGAACAAGTCAACCAAATGACAAGTTTTTTAGATGGTAGCATGATATACGGAAGCACTATGCAACAAGCAAGTGCAGTAAGAAAATTTAAAAATGGCAAGTAATTTCAAGAAATTAAATGAGTAAAATTGCTGTTCAAAAGTTTATTAACAGAATTTAGATATGAAAATATTACTTTTTCGTTTGGTGCTTTTTTTAGTGCTAAATCTAAGCTTAATTTTCTAACTCAGCTTGCTTTATTTTGTGACAACAAATAGTAATTATAATTTATAATAGCTCATAAATGTTAAAAAAATATGTTTTATATTTGGTCATTTCAAATGCAATTAGTAATTACGAGAAACGAAATAGAAATATTTTGCTTAGGTCAATTATTAACGGATTCTGATTCACTGAGTGGAAATTTTCCTTTGATAGTCGAATCTGTCGATGATATTTTGAAAATGACTGCACAGTATATTGCAAATAGTGGTCATCATTCCTTTATTAATAGATTCAAACATTTACGTCTTCTGGCATCTCTTTTTCTTCAAGATATTTGGATGAGACAGCATAATCACATTGCTATTAGTTTAATGGTAATTACTTGACTTTTCTTTTTAGATAATTTATTGAAGTTTTATTTTCTTGATTGAATTACATTGTAAGTAAGCAAAAAATTATTATCGAAAATTTTAGTTTGAAAAAAACGAATTATTATTTATAGTGTTGAAAATTGTTCACCACTTGATAGATAATATAAAATTTAACGTTAATTAATGGGAACACTTAACTTTTTGGTCAGATTTGATTCTACTCCTTATGAAACGAAAATATTATAATTGATGGATCAGTCTGTTGCGCATAAAACATTACATGCATGACATCCAAAAAAGCGCAATACTTAATGGCAGAATGTATTTGCAGTTTTAAGTTTTTAAGACTTATAAATGTGACCTTTGAAAGCGTTATAAACCGTAATTTATCGTGTATGAAGCTCAAACTTGCTTACAATCAAACAATTTTAATCAGTTCTCAAGCAACAGCGAAGTACTCTCTAATTTGTGACAGCTTTAAACAGTCTTAACACTTCATTTAATCACGCAAATACCAATCCTTGTATGATTTATTTACGAAAAGTCAATTACATGCTTTAAAAATACAGAATATTTTTATTAAAATTTGTGAATTGTCTTATAAATATTATTTCAAAAGCTTATCTTTCCTCCTTTTTTTTTATTTTTTATGGTAGCAAACTACATTTCTGCTGTAAACAGCAAGAATTTGAATACATTCATTATTTGTTAGATAACAAATTATAATGAGCTTCAGAAAATGAATCCACATTGGTCTGATGAACAATTATATCAAGAAAGCCGACGAATTGTAATTGCTCAACTACAACATGTTACTTATAATGAATTCCTACCGATTTTATTAGGCAAAGAAAACTGGATCAAATTTACATTGCAACCACAATCGTCTGGTTTTAGTAAACTGTATAACCTTCGCGTAAACCCAAGCGTGATCAATACGTATGCAGCAGCTGCAGGCCAAGTCTGTTTCTTTATACGATATCCTCAATTAAAATGAAAATAATTGTAAGTTTAATGTGGCGTTGAGGTGAAATAAACCGAAAATTTTCATTGGTAAAAAATAAAAAAATTGATTTCTCAAGAAGCGTTGATTAATTTTGAACAAATATTTCATTCTTACATTTGAAAAATTCAAAAAACTTTTTTGTCTGCAACAGAAAGCATTTCACACCTACAAATTGTCATGTTTGAGCTCAAATTGTCAAAATATTATATTTGATTAACTTTAAAAGTTGATTGATTTTAACAATTTTTGAACTTCTGAAAATTTCCCTAAACTTATCTCAATATTCATAATTTTTTCCAAAGTTTTTTTTCACTATGCTCGGCTCATTTCCCCAATGGCACACCGAGAAAGGTAAGGGAATATTGGAAGAGCCGCTAAATGAATATTTCAAAAATCCTGATTCATTATTATCGAGTGATCAAATTGCTAGTTTGCTAATGTATGCTTTTTTTCACATTTTGTGTGAAGAGTATATTTAAGAATCACTAATTTTCCAAATAACTATGACAAAATTTGTGAGGAAAATTTTTCACACAGAAAGCCCGCTCATGATCAAATTAGTTCATTTTTTCACCTGGAACTACACATCTTGCCATTATCAATTTAAAAAATAATTATTGTATTCTTAAATGTCATCTATACATTAAGTATTCAATTTGCAGGCACTTATTACGTGACGCTATTAAAAGGCCACTTATTTCTGAACAAAGTAAACTATATGATAAACTCTTTATAAGAAAAGACATCAATGAATATGACTTGGCAGCAGTGATATTACAAATTGGACGTGATCACGGTATTCCACCGTATAATGTATGGAGAGAATACTGTACTGGTAGTAAGGTTGGTGATTTGTATCATTGTGATTGTTTCATATATGTCCTCACATTGGTTTTAAATCTTTTCTTAATATTTTAAATGCTTAAAATTTCAACAGGTTGAATCATTTTCTGATTTGGTGGATGACTTGGTTGAAGGAGTAGAACTTGTGAAAGATCTAGAAAATGAGTACAAATCAGTGCATGATGTGGATTTGTTTTTACTTGGTTTAGCTGAAAAGCCTATTAATGGAGCTCTTCTTGGGCCAACTTTCAGCTGCATATTATCTTTGCAATTTCAAAAAGTAAACTAATTAATTAGTTGATTTTACACATAATAATGGAATATTATATCATTTTTCTCTATCGTTTATAAATTTCTTAAATTTTTTCTTCAAAGCTGCGATCTGTTGTATTGCATTATAAGAATTTTTATAAATCATTATTTTTGATTCAAACTACATAACATAGACAAAAATAAAAATGTACTAATTACTTATAAGAATTTTTTATAAATTTACTTCATTAACCTAAATCGTACTTATGACTCTTATTATATTCTCTTAATTTTAGATCAAAATCGGTGATCGTTACTGGTATGAAAATGATTTGGCACACTCCGCTTTTACAGAAGAGCAATTAGCAGAAATTCGTAAAACTACTGTGGCCAGAATAATATGCAATACTGTAAAGGATTTTTCAAATTTGCAACCAAGAGTATTTGAATTAGCCGATGATTATGAGTAAGTGCTTGCTGATTGTATTTGCTATAAAATAATCTTCATGATTTGAAAATTTGCATAAATGGCGATGATTGGAATAATATTTCAAAAAAAAATGAAAATCAAAAATGATCTTTAAAGGGTTATAATAAATTACATGCAATTTATTAAAATTTGTTAAGCAATTATCCGATTAACTGCAATGAAACGTCACGTTGGGATTTAAACATTAGTAAATGGCGTGATGATTCACCGAAACTCAAACTACCAATAACCGTAGAAGTGGTCGAAAAAACTATAGAATTTGCAGTAAAGGAAGTAGAAAAACGACGTGAACGTGAACGGAGAAATATTCTAAAAAGTATAAGTTATTTGTGAATGCAAGTTTTCTACAGAATTTTTTTATGCATTTACGTAATTTCTATGATGGAAGAGTTTTTGCAAATTACTTTTGAGTCAAAACAACAAATTAGAAATATTTTTTGACGCGCAATACCTTGTCTAAGTTAGTCAGCGCAGACTTCATGGAATTTTTCATGATTAAGAAGTTTCATTGCTCTATAGATCAGCACATTTTCAAATCTGGTGATCCTTTACTCTCATATGGTAAAATGATGCGAGCGAAACGTGAAGCTATCACTATTGCTCGAGTATCCGAGGTGCTTTTGGAAGCCACTAAAATGCTTATGTCTCGGTTAACTTTAATATTTTCTTTTTTAATTGCTGCTTCTTTCAGAAATTCACTTTGAAATAACAAAAAGATATATCATTGATGGAATAAGAAAAGTGCTGAAATTTAAGCGAAAATTTTTTTAGAGCGCAATCGAATGAAATTTCTGAACTTCCAGGATCGTTAGACATGAATATCTTGCAAGATGTTTTACCTCACATCGACGTCAGCTCGTCAGCATCATTTATCCTATACTTTTAATGCTATTCTAAAATATAAAATTATGCCTTGTGCATAGCAATTCAAAACTTTTCTATAAAGTTTACAGTAGTAAAAAGCTTATAATAGTAAAAAAGTTGTCAAATTAAGTTTGCTTTGATTAATTGAAGCTTTTAATTAAATTAAATGTTAAGTACTTTCATCGAAGATAAATTTAAGTCTATACAATTAATTAAGCGACAAGAAATCAGGCCAAAATGATAAGAAAATAATAGAGCTATTATAAAAGTGAAACAGCGAACCAATTTTTATATTTATTTGTACTTTTTAGATTCGTTGGTAAGATTGAACCACTTCTGGGATCTGGTGGGTCAGTAATGAAATGCTTACCTAAAAATTTACCATGTGATCATACTACTCCATACAGGACAATGTCTGGTTGGTGTAATAACCTCCGAAATCCCAGTTTTGCTAATGCCTTCGGTGCACTAATACATCTATTACCACCTGCTTATGAAGATGGTTAGTAAGTTATTCACCAGAAAAAGTAAGAAAAAAAACACTTTGCAATGATTCAAAGCTGCAAAATTTTTGAAGTGAGCAAGTTTTCATACAGATCATAATGATCCTTTGATATATTTTGTTGAACAGCAATGGTAATATTACTAAAAGCATCCAGGTTTTTATCTGCTAGGAATAATATTGTAAAAATCATTCTAGACGTTTTTTAGGTTAAAGCAAAAGACAGTTTTTTAAAATGTCGTCTTATTCTTTTTGTATACCGGTAAATTTTTAAGGAATTGATAAACCGCGAGCGAAATCGGTAACAGGTGAATTGTTACCATCTGCACGTACAATATCGAATTTGGTACATTTTGACTTACCTATTCTTCATCAAAAGTATAGTCATATGATAATGCAATTCGGGCAAATTCTCGACCATGAATTGACACATTCACCAGTTGAGCGCGGTAATACAACAAATTAACACGTTTATATAATATCTATCAATAGCATTCTTAGATCCAAACAGTAATTCAAATTGAAATAGTTTTTTTCTTGCATTTCAATTTAGCTAAAAGATATTGAGAAACTTATATTAGCATTAAATTGTAAAAAATTTGATGTGATTTCATTTTCGACAAATCTGTCAATAAAGAAAAAATTGTTACGAGACATTCTTCATTTTGTTCATTTTTCATCTATTTCAAACAAATAAAACTATCACATTTTCAGTAATAACTGATAAGTACTGCAGAACATGCTATTTTTCATAGAAATAGAAGAAAATCTTGAAAACTCTGATAGCGCTGTTAATAATATATCATGATAATGTACAAAGATAGTAGTTTTAATTTAAAAAAAAAAACAATTTAACTTCATTTTAACATGAAAATATTAATAAATGAGTAGCGATTATAATTATTTGAAATAAGTTAATTTGGTTCATTGATTAATACCAAGTAAAATAACTCATTTTCAACTTTGCTAATAACTTTTCCATGACAATTTTCAAGAAAAAGAGTGGATCAAATTTTCATTTTTTTACTGCTACAAATTTAAATTGAAGGCCCAGATGACGAGATTTTGAATTGCACTCGATGTGATTCACAAGCAACTCTTTCGATACATTGTATGCCATTACCAGTACCTGCTGGAGATCCACATTTTCCAACCCATGATGAAAATGGTGAACGACGATGCTTACCTTTCGCTCGGTCACTTCTTGGTCAGTTGAACCTTGGCTACAGGAATCAAATCAATCAGGTTTAGTTTTTACTTTAAAGTAGCAATTTATCAGGCACAATCATTGTATATTTATAACTATAAAGAAATTTACTGAAAATGTTTGGTTCGATATGTAACTCATTATATTTTTAGCAATGATATTCTTGCAGCTGACACCTTATCTGGATGGTTCTGTTATTTACGGCTCAACAGATTGTGAAGCAAAAGAGTTACGGGCATTCTCTGGCGGACGCTTAAATAGTACTAATCTTGGAGTATTTAATTCGTAAGTAGTGGTAAACTTAAAATATCTTGATTACAGTCTTTTGATTATAAACTTTTATTTTTGGATATAGCTTAATCTCAACAAAAGTATGCGCTATGAGAGAAGTAAAAAATTTAAGTTTGCTTGCAGTGAAGCTTTGCCACAAGGGGACCAAGAACAAGATTGTCGTTCTTCACCACAGTTTCCTTGTTTTGTAGCAGGTGACGAACGAAATAGTCATCAACCAGGATTGACTTCAATGCATAACATATTTTTACGAGAACATAATCGAATAGCTCGTAAACTTGAAGAACTGAATCCATCATGGGATGATGAACGCATATATCAAGTTATTCATTCTTCATTTTAAACGATTTAAAATAATTATTAGTTATCAAAATTTTTAACATTGAATCCATGATATTTATAATTATATTTGCAAATAAAATTTTCCTGTTGTCTTCTTTTTTTTCAGGAAACACGAAGAATTGTAGCAGCAGAATTTGCTCATATCACCTATAATGAATATCTTCCTTTATTACTAGGAGATCGATTAATGCAAAAATATAACTTAAATACTGCCAAAACTGATTACTTTCATGGTATGTTTGGTATCAGTAAATAAATTAATCTACATGTGCACTTCTAGTAAGAGAACTAAACTACTGTTTACTAACAACAGAACTACTTTTAACTTGACAATTTTCTTGCTCAAATTCAATAAGTTTCGAGTTAATCTTATTATGGTGCATCAATTTTCCTTGTAAATCTTGAAAAAATAATCAAAACAAATGATAGAATTACTCCATGTTTTTGAAGCAGTTTTACTCAAAGCTTACTTTGTTTATTGCTAATCATAACTTTCTCCATGAAGTTAATATTTTTTGTCTGGAGAGATAGCAGCAGAATTTGCTCATATCCAAGTTCTGTCTTCTGATTTTCATGCAAACCAGATGAGAGTGATTAAATTTTCGTTTTCTGTGCCATATTTTACTGAAGTCTAAGAATTAAAATTTATTGAAAGCAGTACTTGTATAGGATATGATGAGACTTGCGATGCATCGATATCTCATCCTTTTGCAACAGCAGCGTTTCGTTTTGGTCACACTTTAGTTAGTCGAGTGTTTTCTCGATTAAATCCTTCATATCAAAATTTCACTGAACCAGTCGATTTAGTAAATAACTTCAATTATGTTGGAGCTATTTATGATGGCAAACGAGGTCATTTAGATTTTGTTACTTTTTAGACAATAAATTATATTTATTATACAGGATTGCTAAAATTATTGTACTGTGGATGAGAATTGTTAGCTTTGAGATTATCTATATTTATTGTTTGAATTTTATTGAAACTGTTAATCTAAGCCCAAATGAATTTAAATAATTTATTTTTATTGTGCATTTAATATTTATTCATTAATTTATATTTTGAAAATATTTGCATGTAAGGTAGCATTGATTCATTACTTGTTGGTCTCCTTGGCACTCCTGCAATGGCGTTTGATAGGCATGTTACTACTGCCCTGAGAAATCATCTGTTTGGTCGACGTGGTGAACCACTTTCTGGAATGGATCTTGTTAGTTTGAATATATTGAGAGCACGTGATCATGGCGTACAGCCTTACAATGCCTTTCGGTACATTTTATTAATTCTAAATCTCAAAAGACAGATTAATTAAAAGGATTAAGTATGCATTTTGTGAAAATATGTCATTATTATATTTTGAGGAGGCAAAATTAAAAGTATTCATTCAAAATTTTACGATACCTTTTTAATTTAATAAATTATTCTATGAAAGTTTGCATTGGACTAAATGAAAATATTTGATATAAATTCAGAGAATTGTGTGGCATGCAGACAGCAAAAGATTTTGATGATTTATTTGGGGAAATGAGTGAATCAGCTGTAGAAGCGTTAAAAAGTGTTTATAAAAGTGTAGATGATATTGACTTATTTCCGGGACTATTGTGCGAAAAATCCATGCCTGGTGAGCAATATTAATAAATAAAACACGCAAACTACAATAAAATTGACAAATTTATGAAATTTTCTTGTCAAAAATACTAAAATTTCATGATAAACAAGCAAAATAATATTGATAATTGATTAATAAAAACATTAATTTACTTTATTAAAGAATGTATTTTTCAATAGGTGCTTTGCTAGCGCCAACAATGGCTTGCATTATTGCGGAGCAGTTTAAACGAATCAAAAAATGTGATCGGTTTTATTATGAAAACGATCAGCAAGCAACACGTTTTTCTCGAGGTCAAAAAACGTAACAGTTATAAATTATTATAGATTAAGAGAAATTATTGTGCTCAGTGAGCACATTCTCGTACAATTAGCAACTTTAATTGAGCTTGACAAAGTTCGCAAAGATTATTCGATTGTAAAATTTATAATATTTAAAAGTAAATATTGGTATAGAGCATTATTTGATGCAGTATCTACACTTTATGAAATAAATCTAAATTACTGAAAAAGTCATCTTTCTTCATAAACTGAATATCTAATGATTCTTCCTATATTTTGAAAGTAAATTAAGACATAGTTCGATTGATGGATGAATTCATTCTTACATGTACTTTAGAGCAATTAAATGAAATTCGGAAAGTAACATTGAGTTCACTTTTGTGCGCGAATAGCCATATGTTGGAAAGTGTACAACCGAATGCTTTTTTGCTACCGGACAAACTTGTGTAATTTTTGCTTATCATTATCATTATTTAAACACTTGCTACATCATCTCAACAAGTCTATTTATTTTGAATTCGCAGCATTTTCTTCATACTTTTGCAACTGAATTTTCTTAAGGCTGTAGCACTATATGATTTTCAAGTAGGAAAAAACAAAATGTTCAATAATTAATAAGTAATGTTCTAGTTTATTATTATAATGAATTCAACACCATATTTTTATAAATGAATTTTTGATATTGTATCGGATTTCAACACATTTTTTTTCTTGAAAAAGAATAACAGATTCTTTTATAAGTGATTATTAGAAGAAAATTAGTGTTTGATGCATGAAATCATCGTCTCACTTATTTCAAAAGACATAAAATATTACATAAAAGTAATCATTTTGATTTATTTCTTTAAAATAATTTCTATTTTTATGATTTTCAGAAACGCTCCTATTCCGTGCACTCACTTTAAACATATTAACTTGACTCGATGGATAGATAATCGTTAGTTCTCATTCGCTGTAATTTTAATTCCTGTAATAAGCTTTCAAATTTTTAAACATTTTTACATTTTTTACTAATTGATTGATGACTATTGATAATTGATGATACTATACAGAAATTGTCATGAAACTTATCTTATGCTTCTGACATTTTTTTGCACTTTTCTTTGATACTAGCCAAACGCTAATTTTCTTCTAATAATCACTCTGAAAGTTTCAGCGGTTTGTTCTGTCTTCAATACTAATATAGAACGTGGTCGAACGAAACGTATTTCACCCTGCTTGTCATGTACTTGTACTTCTGAAGGAGTAAGTCTATTCAATTCAGTAATTGATCAAAATTAATTTCATTATGATAAAAATTACGTAATAATAACGTGCCAAGTATTTTGTTGACTAAGTTTTACAATTACTTTTAGAAACTCTTACAGACATTTACAGTTCTATTTCCTTGAATGAATGCAAAAAAATCCCAGAAACATGAATAAAAATGCGTTTTTTTGACTCTATACTGCTATTATACACTTCAAAATTTTCATAATTAATTACTGTATTATAGCCTCAATGCAGCACTGTAACAGTAAACAATTGCATAGAATTACTAGATCAATTTCTCTTCTTAGATATCATTCAGGTTTGGTAATTTGATTTTGGTTAAAGTCAAAAATGTAATATTTATTTTTGAGTTTCTCTTCAAATTGCATCTATTATTTCTGCTTAGAAGTAATCTAACCTCACTGCTTTTAGGATACAGCTTGCATCGTGCAATGTGCACATCTGTTTTGGAGGCCGACGTAGGTAGTATAATTCTTGTTGTGAACCTAATCTATCAGACATATTCTGTCATCTCCAAACGATAAACATTTACGCTCTCCTCTCTAATCCATTTATATTACTATAACACTTACCTGTATATTTCCTTTTATTCTGAATTCATTTCCTTTCTTTATTTGTTGTAATACAACTCAGTTTGCTCAAGTTTTTATGGTGTTTTTCTCCCAGGTTTTCATCTCTTTACGTAGTTTTCTCACAATTTAATAACTCTCCATATATTGTTTTAATTCAGTAACAAAGTTTATTTATCATTACCAAATATGCAAGCATAAAATTAGAACAAATGATTCTTCAAACAAGAATACAAACAAAAAATTGACTGAGAATAAATAAAACAACATATTAGCAAAATCAAATACACATGAACAATGGTAACTCCAAACAAACAATTGTAAAATCTTTCTCTTATTCAATAAAAACGTGTTAAATCTTAAAACAATCAAAATTTTCAGTCATTTCCAAACGATAAACATTTACGTACTCATGCACTTCCCATCTTTATTGAGCTTTCACTGATCCATAGCAACACCACGAGTTTTAGGTTTGTTTTATGCATCAACATGTAAATGGCTTGCATCTCTAGCATACCATAATCAAAGACTCATTCCACTATCTGAATGCACACTCAATACAAACAAATTTACAGCATTATAAAATATACATTACTGTCCTTTGAATTGAACCAACAAATAGATCATTCAAGTTCTAAATTTAGAAAATCAAATTACCTCTCTTTCTTGGATGACCAGCTTTTCCATCGTGTGGATTGTCTCCTTGATTTCAATGTCATTATCATTTTGATCATGACTTGAATCAGTTTTAAGATGGGCTTTTTTCTTTCCTTTTCGACCATGTGATTTCTTGATTGCACGAGCTTGAAAGAATATTTTAATAATCAAATTTCTAATATATCTGTATTACTTTAGCATATTTCGTGACTTTTCTCATGAAAAAAAAAATCTTTTCAACTGTTGCTAAAAGCAATTGCAATATCTTTTGCAAAGTTACTGAACAAATTTGATCCTTTTTTATCAAACATTAATAAATTTAAAGTGATAGAATTGTAAAGACATCGCTAACTTTCTTGATCTTGATTTTGATCTGGAACTTGCATCCCCACATCAATATTATTTTGTTTCTTGTCTTCATCGTCTAATAGATGATAATCTACAAAAATATTTTTTCACTGACAAATACAAGCAAGCGTTGTCACTGTAAAATTTTGTAAATCAAAAAAGTGGTTTTTTTCATGCTTTTTCAAGCAGTTACTCCATGTTTAAAAATGATATACTTTTAGGAAGTGCCAAATATTACCAAAAGTTTCTATGATTCATTCATCAGTTATAATAACCACAAAATGCGCATTTGACTCACTTACAATTAATTATTTTGTGAGAAGTCTTGCGATTATTATTAGATAAACGATTACGGAAATTACCAAATAGCAAAACGCAATGCCTATTTCCACGAACCTGTAACAAAAGCTGGCTAATATAATTCAAAATATAACAGAAACTCAATAAATAAAATTGAACTTCAGAAGTCCAAACTCGAAAATTTTTACTAATCAATAACAAAATAAAATTAAAATTGTAACGAATAAGAAAGTATTTTAGTGAGCGGATTTGAAGTAATACCTCTTCACCATTTGGTCCAGTAACGTTAGCTGCTTCTGGTCCTTTCTTTCCTTGAACAAGATCAAAAAGGACAGCTTCACCATCTGCAAGTGAACGCAAGTACTGCTTCGTGGTCCGGGATTTAGCAATTGCCATCTAAAAATATTTTGATTATAAACTAATATTTCCTATTTACACCGTAAATCTATCAGCTGTATTATTCTATCTACAATAAATAAAACAAGCCATTAATTCGTTTTTCTTTATTTTTCAATCAGCATTGCAACTCACCTGGTGCACGAATACGTCACGATCTTTATTATCATCACGTGAAATAAATCCATATCGAAAGGAAACGTTATACCATTTTACTTTGCCTCGTATACCTATAAATAATAATTAAATGACTATCATATTTGTCATGGGAAATCAAAAATCCTTGGTACTGACATCTGCAAGTGGTCTTTTTTTTCGTTAAAAAGTAATAACAACAACTAAATTCACCTTTTTCAAGTATGGGCTTTTTTGATTGCTCTTCTTCCCACTTAAGACGACGTTTCTCTTCAAATTTTTTCACGCGAGATAATCTTTTGCTCACTTCGGACTCCTTCTGAAATATAAACTTAACTCATTCTCGTTCTGAAGCAGCTATTTCATGCCAGGAACAAATTTTACTGTCATGAAATAGACCTTAATCTTTTATAATACACCAAAAAATTCTCGATATTGAAACTATGAGCAAAGATGTATGAAAACAATAGAATTTTGTGGGTAGATCAATGTTACAAAACATAAAATCTTTATGGATAAGGTCAATGTTACAATCATCAGAAATGAACGAATTATTTTTGAAAAAAACCATTGTTTGCTCAATAATCTTGATAAACGCTTTCAAAGTTAAATATTAGTTTTTATGCATGCAATGAGATTAGCACTAGATGCTTTTCTTATAGCACTATATGAACTTGAAAAAGTACACTCCAACACTGTTCAACGGTAATCAGTGAATTAGAATGAATTACTTTTTCGTTCTTTCTAATTTTCGTGAAGCTATTCGTATTTGCGTCTTTGCTGGCTTCGTCCTTGTTCTCCTACAATAATTCCAGTATTTTTGCTTCTATTTCTTCACTTTCGTGATATAGTTTCTATCCATAAGTAATATTCGGAATCAACTTGAGACGTAAACGAAATGATTAAAAATTGTTTGTTTTTGTTTGAAAATGAAGAAAAGCCATAATATCCATTTGTGAGCAAATTAAAAATTATTCAAAGAATAGCAAAAAAGCATGGTTATTTCCTGATAAAAATAAATGATCAGTTATACAGTGTTGTAAGATAGAAATGTTTGAACCATTATCAACATGATTTTTGGAAATGTTGATAATAAACGACTATAAACTTTAATACCCATGTCCATATTAAATGAATACTATCATTGTGCTGCTCTGCAGAGTAATATATTTTAAATTAATGAATCTTTCTTACCATCTACTATTATAACAATTAAATTTTGTCAACAAAAAATTGCTTGTTTTGATTATTTTTAAATTTTAAACTTGTCTAATAAATTTCATGATATAAAAATTTAAATTTTCAAAAAGGAAAAAAATGAAACCTCAACCATGACTACTTTTGCAAGCTGCATCAAATCGTTATCACTTGACATACTCATTGACTTCGATTTTTGAATGCTTCTGTTGATTTAAATTCACAACTACAATTTTTTAAAGAAATTAAAAGACTGATAATGCTTGGTAAAGCTTTCAAATAGATAAACACAATCAGGCCTTCTACAATTATTCTTTCATACAACACAAATCTATCATCTCTACACACCTTACTATCAAGCACCGACGCATTTTGTCTTACTAAATATCTACTATTCAGTGTAACACAAGAAATGATGGCAGTAGGAATCGATTTAATGATGTCAACCTATGGATTTACTATTCTTCTCAATGTTTCAGTCTGTGTTAAAAATGGTATGCAATAATCAAAAATTATGTGACATATTCTAATGTTTTGCTCCATTTCTAAGCTTCTTTGTAAACAAAAATAAATTAATAATTAACGTGCAAAGGAGAAAGTCAAAAATAATAAAAGAATGATAAATAACAATCTTACTATTTAATAATTAATGACTTGCGCAGATTTCATGACGTAAAGTATCTGGATCAGATTATGCTGGAGAATTCTTGGATAAGTGTTTTTGACAAACATTAAATCCAAAATTTTATGCATTCTTAAAATGAAACAATTTTAGCAATACATCGGAAAAAAATTCTTAAGTATATTGTGCATTATGCTACAAGCTGTGCATATTTCATATTTCTAACAGTACAAATAAATAAAATAACAAAATAACAAAAACATTTTTGATGAAGCACAGTGACATTGAAGGATAACAAATACAACTGTTTTTCAAAAAATGATAATTATAGCAGATGTGACGGAATTTATGTTAAATAAATGTTGCTAATTAAAATATTTCGATTATATAAACATATGATCAGCGCTACTATAAATTGGGAATTTCGGTAATTAAGAAAGTTGACAAGTTAGCAATATAACACAAGTAATCTTTGCTAAGAACATGCATACCTTTAGAATTATCTTGCAGATATAAGTGTCCTTGCAACTCGTGTTCTACATTTACTAACTTGCCATGCATGTTTCTGATATAACATCCGTACAGTACATACAAATAAGTGGATAAGTAGTGCGTCCTTTGCGTGTTGTTAACTTTCAGCTACTTCTGACAATAACAAATCAGAAATTCTGTTTTCAGCTGCATTAGCAGTAAGAATATATTGCATAGCAATTGTATTTGTTGAAATATTTAACACCGAAAAATTTTTTTCAGATAATAAACTTCTGGAAATTTTCATTCCAAAAAAAAATGCGAAAAGAATTTAAAAGAATATTTCTGTATGTGAACGTGCATAAAATGATTAACAAATATGTATTTTAAAATTTATCCAATTAATGTGTAAAATTAATAATAAACGTTACACATTTTTTTTTAATCAAATATTGCAATTTTCGTTTCCAAAAATTAGTCGCTTACATTTTATATTAAAGATAAAATTCTTACAATTTAATTGTTTATATTTTTGTGCAATTTATTGATTAAAAGTAGAATGCAAAATTGTTCACTTATAGTTAGTTGCATATGTTGTTTTCATGTGAAACTGAACGTGACAGGTATTAATTACTTTGCTTTACGTCATACCTTACATTGTTATAACAAAGCAAAGGAGTGTGCAGTTTTCTTTTCAGAAGCAGCTGCTTTTTCTTTAACCAACTATACAAATTTTATTGCTCAGTGTAGCAAAGCATTAACGCAGATTAATTGATTGTACTTTCAGATTCAGAAGTACGATCTTCGATGCATGACATAGTGCTATTACAAATATAAAAAAATATAAATTTCAAAAAATTGACTTTAGATTGTAAGTGAACTTTTAGCACGTGTTTATTTATATACTTGTGATGTGTAAGTATACGTCTCTCATCGTAATGCTTGACGTTAAAATGCGCATAAGTTACTCGCATTTGCTGAAATAAACGTGAATATATGGCAGATTGCTTGCCTAAGAATGCGGACGCTAGCACTTGCAGTGGCCTTTACTCACGCCAAGAAGCTCAAATCATAATGAAAGAAATTCATGCTTGCAAGGTAGTCTTTTTCCAGGCAAAGAATATAAAACGTTGTCACACACTCATAGTCCGATTGATTTCTCTAGAGGCGCCAAAATTCTCACTACAAATTTGAAAAAACTTAGCACACATTAATAATTTTAAATTGTAAGAAAAAGCTTCCTTTAATACTGCTAAAAACGTTAGATCACAAATGTTGCAATGATAATAATATCCTGTTATCAAACATAATGCATTTGGTGGAATTTTTAATAAATGCAAAACATTCTGTTCTATGAAAACAGCAAAGCACTACTGATAATTTTAGAGTTTTGTTTTAAATAACTGCGATTTGAAGAGAATTTTCACACTTTTCAAAATATGTGAAAGATATAGTGTGCTTGTAGAAAACTGTCCACTGCTCAAAATAATGGTGAATGCGTCAACTCAAATGTTTAATACTAATAAATCATAATCTCTGTAGTTAAAAATGAGACAGAACTGTAATAGCTTATAAGAGATATGAAATCACTTTAAACAACCTATCTACTATATAGTAATTCGTGCTCAAAGCAATAGCTGACAGCTTTCATTTTCTGATATGAGTTGTCCTTCGATGTAAAATTTGTGTAAAGTAATTTATGTAGGGAACATGCTTATTTGGAAATAATGATAACTAGTAAACGTATAGTGTACAAAAAACAATAGTTGACTACTGTTTGCAATCTTTTTGAATGGTATATTTGTTCAATTTATTAGTTGTTGCAGACGATATCATTCAATGATATGAAAATGAAAAAAGTTGTGGTGAAAGTGTGCCAGACAATTATAGTTGGAAATGCCAAGTCCTGGTGATAAATGAAGTTGAAAAGATTTTGTTTAGTGGTGTTTCTTATCACAATCATTTCATTACTACTACCTTCATTTATTATAAGACAACTGCTTCTCTTTCACTTAGACCTATATCTTAACATTTCATTGCTAGAATACTGCAAAAGTTAGTCTAACCTAGTAAAAATAGGAAATTAATCAATAACTTGATTTTTTTGAGTAATGAGGATTATAGTTATTGAAAAATGGCAACCTATTAAGTAATTGCAAACTACTTCTCTAATAATGCTATTTATTTGTGAATAAATAATTCAAATTTTTCATTATTACTGTTCCTAATATTTTTCAAGTTTTTGCTATTTTACAACCATTATATAGTTAAATAGTAGCTAAAAAATTTTTTAAAAAAATTGGCATATTTCAGAGTGGAAAGCAAGTTGCAAAGAAGTATTTATTTGACGTCAAGTATTCAGTATATAAAAACGAATGCAGTTTTTGTTATTATATTGCTTACTGTTAGTTTCCACAGCTACTGGAGACAAGTGTAATCGAAAATTGTATGAAGCAAAAGAAGCAAAAACTAAAGGCAGCGGTGGTTTTGTAATTGAAATATCCAGTGCTACAAATACTTCTGATTTAAATCCAGATGGTTATACACCTGGCGAAAGTTACATTGGTATGAATCATATTGTTATGTTAAAAAAATTGAAGTTTTTCTACATTTCTATGAATTAAACCAAATTTAAACTGTTTTTTTTAAATGAATTAAGTCAAATTTAATCAGATGGAAGTTAGCTCATAATTGTGCGAAATTTTTAATTCAGATACATCACATACTAATTAAGCTGTTTTCATTTAGTTTTGAACTTTGCATGTTAAATTTAAAACTGCAGTAAAACTTCGAGGATGGAGAACGAAATTCACAGTACAAGCATTTCGTGGATTTGGAATATATGCACAATTTGAAAATGGTGAATATGCTGGAAAATTTGATGTAATTGTTAAATACTTTTTTGAAACCTAAGTTATGAATGCCATTTTCTGAATGATAGAAAACACTTTTATGTAATAGAATTTATTAGTAATAAATAATTTCTGAATGTATGGAATAGAATGTTAAGAATTTTTATTTCGTTATAATATGCATTATCAGTGCACAAGTTTAAGTAGTAGTGCAACTTTATTTTAAAAAACTTTTCATTTTAAACAATGACAAGTTTTTAAATACCGAAGTAATACAAAAGTTTTGCAGTTAACATAATTAAATGCTTTTATATAGCTCCAAGGACGAAAAGGAGAAGCACGTATTGCACCAAATTGTCGTAAAGCTGGTGTATCACACTCGAATTTGAGACCAAAAACATCTGTACACGTATTGTGGCATGCACCTGACACATCAGAAAAAGGATGCGTTTATTTTCGAGCTTCTGTAATCACTTCTCGAAAAGTTTGGTATGGTGATGATGGGCCACTGACAAAGAAGTTTTGTATTAAAGGCTGGTTCCACTTTCTTACGTGTAATTTAATATATAATGAAACATGAATGACTAGTAATATTTAAGTACGAAATTAGCTCATAATTCATTTCAGTTAGTTGCTTTAAATTGAACTTATGATTAACTGTTTGATCTAGTATGTGTTGTCATGCTTCATCATGGAAAAGGAAGACTAGAGTGCATATGAAGAAGTAAAACAATTGCATTTTCAAGTTTAGAGGGATATAAAAAAGCACTGATAGCTGACGAGAACAGTATGGAATGTTGTGCATGCGATGAGGCAAAGTACGATTTGGAATTTGTCGGCCTTTGGTCGAGAGATACACATCCAAAGGATTATCCTTCTTGTTCGTTAGTTCAACTTCAGATTGCTTTTCTAATTTATTTTAGAATTTCTTCTTCTTTTTGAAAGTAAGAATGATATGTAAATAGTTTGTCTAATTTTATTTCAGCTAAAATTACCGTGATTTGCTGGTCATTAGAATTATTCCAAGATTAGTTTAAAAAATATATTTGACAAGCTTAATATTTATGATAACACTTAGTACTGAAATTTTGCTTTATTGCAAATTCATGGATATATTTTAGTAGAACATTTGACGCATTTTACGGATATGCTTGGGGCTAGCCACAGTGGTAATTATACAATGTGGAAGTTTGGCACAATTGCAACAGATGGTATGAAAGAAATTGCTGAATGGGGTAATACTTTCAAAGGTGAACAAGAAATGAGAGCAAACGTATGTTTTACTGATTATTTTTAATTGATAATTGTTACGCATTAATTTTTGCTTCAGAATGATAACACAATTTAATTTTAAAATATTGAAACTAACATATATGTGATCGGGTTTCATGGATTATAATATATAAGAATCATTTACTTGAAAGATGAAAATAAATTAATTATTACAATAACTGAATAAGCTTTTTAGGCTAAAGAGATCCGTACTTTGATGAAAATCAAAGGTTTGTGGTACCCAGAAGTACAGGGAAGGACAACTAGTTCATTTATAGTAAATAAGTAAGATATTACAAATTATGGACTGAATACCTTCAAAAGCATCAAAATATAATGATGCATAAACCTATGCTATCATTTAATTTATGTATTTAACTTTAAATTTTTAGGTATCATCATTTTGCTTCATTAGCAGCTATGTTTGGACCTTCACCAGACTGGTGCGTTGGAATATCATCTGTCAATTTGTGCTTGCCTGACTGTACGTGGGTGACACAGCGAACTTTTGAGTTACTACCTTTTGATGCTGGTACTGATAATGGACCAACCTATATGGTACATTTAACGTTGTTATCTTTTTTAATTTCAATAAATTGACTTATAGTTGATAGATTTCAAAGGTATATTGTTATGATTATAAATGTAAAATACATTACGCACAATATCATCTGTTTTTCAATAATTCTACATGAAAAATAAATGAAAACTTTTTCCCTTTCCTCATGAAGTTGATAAACTTTTTTGAAGGATTAAAAAATTAAAGTCAGTTTGATGCACATTTTAACAGCATATGATTTGAAATTAGTATGAAAATAAAGCCTAAGATCAAAGCTCAGCATATTTTCTAAATATTTTGAATAGTGTCGAAAAATTAGAATCAGCAGCACAACATTTAGTCGCCAAACAATCCAGCTGAGCCACGCATTCCAATTCATCCAATAACAACGAAATTGGATGTAAGATCGCCCTTTTATAATGCAGATAGTGATGTTATTGCACCGTTAGCTCGACTGAAGCTAACTAGAAAAGCAGTGACAAAATCAGAATGTAAAACAATAGAAGAATATCAGAACACGGCATACAATGCTACGAATACCAGTGAAGATGAAGAATATAAAGATCGAAGTAAATTTTTTCCTTATATATTTTTGTGTCAATTAAAAAAACAACTAGTTGAGAAATTTGCATAAATTTGCAACGAAGTTTACTTTAAGAATACATCATATTATCAGCAATAACAAAATAAATGAAAATGCAAGTATATTTTGCTTATAAAGTAAGAAAGATGTGAGAGCAAAAATTTTTCCAAATATTATTTTATAGGGGAATGTATGGTTACAAATTGGGAGCCATGGTCATTATGTTCTGCAACTTGTGGAAAAGGTATTCGTATGCGTTCACGTGTTTACGTTTTTCCAATAAAGGCACAGATGTTCAGATGTCATCGCCAAACCATTGAAAGACAATTTTGCAATGCAAAAATAAGCGAATGTCAAGGTATATTACAGTCTTGAAATAAAATTTAGTGGATTACTTTTATTGAATGGTAGATATTGGAGTTGAATTTCGTTTCATTCATCCATAGCTAACAACAAATAAGAATGTTCTGCAAAAATAAATTTCAGATTCTGATGCTTTCAACTCGAAATGTTCAGTTAGTAGTTGGTCATCATGGACGGAGTGCAGTGTAACATGTGGTAAAGGGTTGAGATCAAGATCAAGAACTTTCAAAGAGCATAGTTCTAGTTTCGATACATGTCCAAATATTGAATTAACTCAAAAAAATGCATGCACTGGTGAGATGTTTTGCATGCCTCAGCTGCTTTACATATTGGCCCATATTAAGCTTAAGCTGAATTTAGATATGTTACTCAGTTGAGGCATACACTTTTAATCTATACTCTTAAGTATTATTCATTTTGTTCCGAGCTAAATACTCATCAAATTCTACATTTCATCTTTTTGAGCATAGCTCTTTTCAGTAATATATAGAAAGATAAAACAGGATAATCTAAACTGATGTTGATAAGTATTTGTAAAATGTAGCGATCAAATATGGTCATTTCGAGAAACACTCCAATTTAGAAGAGAAGAACACAGGAAGACTGAAGATATAAAATATATTTTGAGTTTGTAAGATGAAAATTTAGTTTAAGTGAAAAAAAAATGAGAAAAGTATTACTAGGCGAAAATGGAGATGATTGCTCGATAAAACCAGATCCGCTTTGTCAAGCTACATCGTGGAGTGACTGGTCACCTTGCAGTGCCTCATGTGATGAGGGAGTGCACGTACGTACACGTTTGCTTTTCTATGCTGAATACGAAGAACGTTGCTCTAAAGTCAATTTATTAGAAAAAGAAAAGTGCCAATTACAGACATGCCGGCGGTTGCTCAGTGCTCACTCCGAAGGTGTGCAGTTTTATAATCGCTATATTTTGTTCTTACTCAAGAAGCATTTTTTATCTTAATTGTAAATAAGTTCTTGAAACGTAGAATGTAGTAGTGCATGTAATATATTGTATAATCAGATTCCCTTGAATGACTGATGAAAATTTTCTATCTCATGTAATCATTAAATGCGATCTGAATTTTTAGATGAAAACTATGCTTAAAAGGATGCATTTTCTACTGTAATTTTCAGCAATATTGAATGTAAGATTTCAAATAGTCATTCTACCGCACTGATATTTTTATGACTGCTTAGAAATATGCATGGAAGATAAGCAAGAAGGACAGTGCGCTGGAACTTTCCCTCGTTATTGGTATAATTCAAAGTTAAAGCAGTGCGAAAGATTTATCTATACGGGTTGCAAAGGTAATCGAAATCAATTTGAAACTGAAGATGAATGCAAACGAATGTGTCTGGAGGGTTACGAGAGTCCTATAGGAGAAGTTGGTTAGTATATATTATAGATTCCTAGCATTTTTTTAAATTTAGATTTCATTGATGTTTAATTTTAAGTGCGCAAAAATATACTTTCAAATCTTTTATTCACGTATTCGAGATGGAGTAAGAAATAATACTTATATATAATATTTATCTGATGCTTGATTATTCAGTGCCGGGTCATCAGTTAATTAATGAATTTGGTGTTGATCAAGTAAGGGATGGTGGACCACCAGTGGATTGTGTGATATCCGAGTGGACACCGTGGGGAAATTGTTCAGCTTCTTGTGGTTCAGGCAAACGTCAACGATCGCGACAGATAGAAGCAAGAATTTTTTGTTATATGCAATTAATAGATGCAGAGAAAATTATTTATATAGTTGTAATTAAGAACATTTGTGATTTCAAAGTCCATTTTCATTTTATTTTTCATTAAGTTGTAGAATATGATAAAATGTGGTAAATTTTAACTGAATTTGATTTATTCTCAGATATTTCCAAGAAATGGTGGTCGTTCATGTCCTGAACACATGGTACAGGAACGACGCTGTGAATTGAGACCTTGTGGTGAATATTTATAACGGCTATTAAAACTTTTCAATTTGTAGTTTCAGTTGATAAGTAAACTATTGATAAGTGTGAAAAGGCTGTTTGCTGCCATACTGTATAAGTAAATATACAAAATGTACTTAAATAACCGCACTTTCCAGATTTTTTATTCCTGTAGGAGTTTAAATTGTTGGTATTTCAAAGACTTTATGGTAGTTGGGAGATGTGTTATTTTGTATTCATTGTAATAAAATTTTAGCTATCCGGAACTGTCATATCAAACCATGGTCAACTTGGTCGCCATGTTCTGTAACTTGCGGAGAGGGTAAACAAATTCGACGAAGGCGGATTATCAGACCTCATCGATTTATTGATGAAGATGAAGATTCCCCGTGTAATGCTTCAGAAAAAGAATCTCGAACTTGCTATGTGCGATGCTGATTCAATTTGCTATACCCTGCCTACTACATCTTTTCACTTTGCTCACTTAAAACTTTCAAATCAGAATTCAAATTGCAGCATTTCCTTCGTAATATGATGAATGTTATTTACTGATCATTAATAGAACTATTATGTGTTCAGTCCTGCAGTATATGAAGCTGAAAGATATGAATGTTTAATGAAAAGTTCTTATTCTCAAAATTTTGATTGCAGACATTTATCTGCAACAGACACAAGCCAATGGACAAAAAGCACTTTGTTTTTCACAAAATGTCAATAAAATAACTGACAAATATTCGTAATTATTTTGTAGATCCTTATTGCTGCAGAAAAATGAAAAGAATCAATACATAATCACTCCTTGGCACCGGAATAATCAGATAAGGTAGAAATTGAAAGATTTAAAATCTAAATTGAGAGAGACAATACCTCTGCAAAATACACCGCAGTCCAATTTCCAGTTTAATTTTTGCTAAGTTACGACTCAATCAAATTTTTAATAAGTCACATCAAGAAATTTTATTGTGCTAGATCAAGCAGTTTAACATTCTTCAATTTAGATAGATCATGACACATACCATACTATAAATTTCATAAAAAATATGCGTGAAAAAAATTAGCAAAATATTATTTCACCTTATCAAAAAATGCAAAGAATCAATACATAATCACTCCTTAGTATTCAGAACTCGCTTTTTGAAGCAACATTTTCATTATCACAAAAATAATACGAATTTTAAACTTGCATACTTCTAACATTCTAACCATATTTCTAGCCTAATTATAATTAAATGATGATGAATCACATATCAAAACCTCCTAAATTGAAATTACAAAGCATGTCACATACATTTTGCATGCATCATCAGTATACCAATTCAACTGACATCGGTAGTCAATGACAACAGATAATACTTACATTGCAGTAAGACCGACTCAGGAATCTGCAATACATTTGAAATATATAATTCTTTTCATCATGACGCTGAAGTGCTAAAAATAAACTGTCGAAACCTTTGATTGTGGTTTTTTAGCATATAGTGATACTAAACACTTCAAGTTTATATTGCTAACACCATCACAGAAAACAAGAGACTCATTATTTAGAGCTGAAATCTAAATACTTTATATCTGCAAGAAATAAATCTGTTTGAAATTTTTGTAAGCAAACTTTGAAAGGATCACAAAGAAGTACCTTGAAATGAGCTAAGTCCACTTTTTCTGCTGGTGAGATCATACTGGACATCGTTGTCAGTTTCGAGGAATCATTCTCGTGAGAGGCTACGGTCGATGACTGAAGATCTTTTACTATTATAGAAGTATCTATAGATTCTGGCACAATTATTTCACTCTGATCCCGAAAAGGTACTGAAAATTTACATGAACTAAATGTTATCTACTACATAAAACTTCAATAATGTTTGCCTCTTGAATATATATGCATATATTTTGCACAGATAAGTAAATATACAAATAAATGAATAAACAAGCAAAAAGATAAACAATAAAAAAATAAACAATTAAACAAATAAACAAACAAGTAAATAAATTCTGATAGATATCGAATCAATAGGAAAAAGTTAAAAATAATACAAACTAACATTCAATACAATCAGAAATCAATGAAGCAGTGAAGTTTGAAATGAAGCTTTTATTGGGACTTCATATCACTTTAATGACAATATTAAGTTTGGATTACTTACTATATGCAAATTAACCAATAACTAATGCGGATGATGAGATCTCACGATTATTACTCAGCACCATAATATAGTAAGACTTAATATTAAGCGTATAAAATTATTAAGCGAAATATCAATTACCTCCTTCAACTTCCTTATCTTTATTAATCAGGTTAACGAGATCTTTCAGTGCAGAATTATCTGGCATATTATTTTGTCCATCACATACATTTTTGGAAGTATGCATTGATGCAAAAGCCTGCAAAATAATTATGGGGTTAAATTTGAAACAAAATGCAAAAGAATGTAAAAGCATAGAAAGGCTGGGGCCGATGACTGAAGATCTTTTACTCTTACAGAAGTACCTATAAATACTGGCACAATTATTTCAATCTGATCCCGAAAAGGTACTGAAAATTTCTACGAACAGTACAACAAGAAATCATGCCACAACTAGCAAAACTTTCACTAAAAGCATGAAGATAAAGAGTGCAAACATACCGATTTCTCAATACTTCTCTCAATAATTTGACGATAGTTTTTGCGACTTAATTTTCGATTTAGATGCCAAAATATTGGATTTTTCTTTTTTGTTTTATGGCGAATTCTAGCACGTCGACAAAAGTGACAAGCTTCGCGCGGCATTGAAAAATATAAAATACTGAAAGTTAACAAATGTCTTGGCCTGACCGCAGTGAAAATAAATTTAATATTAGTAAGGAATTATACCACAGCTACCAACACTCTCACTAAAAGCATTAATTCAAATAAAAAATTTATAATTGTGTAATCTGAATATCTCGCAAAGATTATGCTTTTCACTGCAAGCCAAATTCAAATGTGTACATGCTTAGAAAATGTGCATAGGAACTTCGCGGAAAATTCAACATTTTTATTCAAATAATTGAATTCAATTTCAAAGCCTTAAAACTTTTGCAGCATTATATCGTTATCATCACACTATATACTCTTTAGGGCTTTCGTACTAAGATCTTTTTTGTTGCATCTTATTAGTTTGTTCCTTTAAGCTGAGATTTATATGGTTGTTTTTGTCTTATTTGTAAATTAATTTATATCAAAATGATCAAATTATTTGCAGTCACAACCGCAGTATTGTTGGGATCAGTATACGCAGTAGACTTCGCGCAGAAAATAATACCATTGCTATTTAATAATATCACTACTGTTCAAATTAATTAGGGAAAATTTCGTTGCTTTTAAAAGTGTCTTCATAGAATGTCCAGTTATGTGTGCCTTTCTACGCTCCAAGTGTATTCAACGCATTAACGTGGGTTCCACTGCGTATGTTTATGAATTGTTTCATGCTTGTGCATAATCCTACTTATCCTGTATATAAAATCAAAATCATGTAAATCGGAATATAAACATGTTTGTGACGATTTATGCGTTACGTCAACATCACTCTAACAACTTATTTGCGTTTTGCATGTAAATATACGCAGATGCTCATAAATATAATTTCTAAAAGTCTTTATTACAGTTCCAATATTTTTAGAATGTGTCAAAAAACTTTGGTTTGTTCTTAACTTACCATAAATGAATGCATTTTTGCTTTGATAGTGTTTTTCATGAAAAATTATCAAAACACAAAGTGTGCTCTTTTTTTGGGTAAAATATACATAAACATCAGAATATGGTCGATGAATTCTTCTTCCATGTCAGTTTTTTGGACAGAGTGGAATGATGAAAACTGATCATTATTTGGAAGAACAAGGTAAATTATTTGTTAAAATTTGATATTTTAATTTCGTGGCTAATTACTTGTGCAATATAATGACTTCAAATTATTAAAAACTTTAATTATAGAAAGTTCAGAAATAAAAGCAATAAAAAAGTATGTAAAAAATTTATTGTTTCTTTTTTCATATAAAAGCAGCTTTATTAGCAAGAAAGTGACGTCGACGCTCTTTGTTTTTAGCTTCTTGTTGTTTCCTTTCTTCTTGTTCTGCTCGAATTTCTTCTTCAAATTTGCTCAATCTTGTTTGCTCTTCAATCTACAATTAAAACCTTTCAAATAAAATATCAGAATATGAATAGCAAGAGATTTACTCCCAATTAAATAATTAGTTGATTCATAATGAGCTAACTAGATAACTTAGAAATCTGAAGTATCAAATTTTTCTAACAAATTTTTATTTCACTGTTAATGTAATTTCAAGTAATAAAAATTTAAAGTCAAACTTTAGCTTGAAAGAAATTGGCGGCTGCATGTACTCCTTCTTTGGTTACATCTACTGATGCAGCTAATTCATTGAAAACTTTGCCACATGATAACTGCCCAGATGCTGCACATCGAAAAATGAGCATAAATTCACGAAGACTTACTTTACCATCTTGATCTTCGTCAACATAAAAATAAAATACATCATACATTTATAAATTTAATCTGTTTTGTGCCTATTTTTCTATGACTGCTTCTACACATAGCTTGCAAATTAAGTACTACAGCCGAAAGGAAAGAAAAAAACCAACTTGTTTGAGTATGTAATAAGTACTTCAAGTTGCTGCATAAAGCTTAAATCTATAATAAAACTGCTAGAAATTGATCTTTCAATCTAAAAAAAATAGTAAATTTGAAAGCTAATAAAACTATAACAAAATTTATTGAGTAAAACAGATGCAGTCAATAATCTAAAAATTATTCTGATCTTCAGATTAATTTTTTTAATTTCAATTTATATAATGTAGCAGTCAAGTTTAGCAAGTAGAAGTCAGCTGCAAAATTTCTTTAATTAAACTTACCAGCTTAAGCATGTTTTTCAATGCGATGTGCGTTTGAGCTTCACCTAACTTTTCCATCATTCGTTTCAGTTCATCAAAATCAATGAAGTTATCGTGGTCCTCATCATATCTATAGGTTAAGAATATACTGGCATCTGTCATATTAGATTAATTTTTAAAAAGCTTAAAGGAATTAATTTATAGATATTTTCTTTTTTTGATCATTCGTCACTTAATGAATAGCGGATTTACATAAAATGCCAAATTCATTAAAAAATGAAAAATTAAAAGTTTAATAGTTTATGAATACTTTTTAGTGCAACAGATCTACAGTACAATAAATACATATTAAACAAGTGGATTTACTGCTTAGTAAGTTTCTACAAATAACGGATTCATTTCAGAAATCCGTATTGAAATTTTAATGTAAAAGAAGCAAATACTACCAGATTTTTAGTCAATCTAATTAATTGCTAACTTTGTAAAAATTTCCATGAAATGTTTGATTTGCTTCCGAGAAAATTCATAGAATTCTGAGTAGATGCCAATTTTGGGAGGTTTTGATGGTTCTACTGATTCTCCTAAAATGTATAATATTTTCATCAAATAAGAAAAAGTAGTTTAACTTAAAAAATTTTAAAACTTTAACATTTCATAAAATTATATGGTTAATTAACTCTCAAAAAATGAGTTACGGAAACCGGATAGTTCAGTATACAATTTTTTCCTAACTGCGAATGACTAATTCTAACGGAGCAGTTTATCATAATTGCTATATTATTGATCAGATTATTGGTAAATTCGCGTGAATTTTTGTTGTTGTTTGCATTCTATAAGAAATAACGATTTGCTCCTGAATGGTCTATCATTTTACTCCCATCATCCTATCACTAAACTTCTGCTATCGTTCTGATAAGCAGAGACTGAGATGCTGTTCCTATTTTCTCAATGTATTTTCTACACAATCAGAATTAATTACATGAAAAATATATGTCATTAACAACAAGCCTACGTCATTTATTTGCGTATAAAAATTGAGAGTAATATTCTGTAGCCTTTATATATCATTTGTCGTACATAACATATTGTTTTTACTATTATTAATTCAGTACAAACCTTCTGCAATCATATTTCTCCGAGCTAGTTTTGCAGCTAACTCATCACCATCATTATTATTTGAAGACAAAGATGTAGTAGAACAAGTCGGTGAATTTGATGCCTGACTCATTGCTGCCTAAAAAGTAACTTCCATTCATTTTCCATAAATAGCATAGCAGAAAAAAAAATGCATCGCTTACAATCATAACGATGTAAGTAATCGTAATAACAAGGAGAGAAAATAATAAAGATAACGATGATGAAACTATCAATTGCAGAAGTAAAAAAAGTTTACCAAAATAGGGATGCAAAACCAAAAAAAAATCATTAACTTATAGAAGTGCTGTAAATTACTTATTTTGTAACAATCGCTTACGCAGGTCATGTTTTGTTTTTAAAAGAAATCGAAAATGGAATATAATTAGTGCCGAGATGTAAAACATGCAAAAATGTGATTAGAACCAAAAGAAAGCAATATATATGCAACATATTTTAAAACCTTAACTTAAGCATGGAAGTAAATGAATGAGCAAGAAAGCAAAAAATGGATAGACTAAATTACCAAGGATATAAATACTGCACGGATGCTGGCTGACTGCAACTAACCAAGTAGTTAGTTAGTTAGCAGACTGGCTATTACAGAGCATTGATTTTCACTTCAGAGAATTCAGATAAGTAGTGACCAAGCGGAAGAAATAATCTTGGACAAGAGCTGAGAGCCAAACAGTGATTACTAATAAAGTAAAATTTATTTCAAATTAAATTCCAAATTAATCTTTCACTAAGCCATATAATACAAGTTTCATTCATCATTAAACGTGGCATCATACTGAATATTATCTTTTAGCGATAACAAACATTTTATCTTACATTATTTGCCGGTAACAAATATATGATTCTAATGATTTTAGAAATCTTAATTAATTTGGTGAGTTATTAAGATTTCTTTTTGAAAGGAAAGCTATAGATATATAAAGAGAGTACAAGGGAAATCTACTATTTATCTGATTTGATCAGTTTTTGCTCTATGAGAACTTTTGTGCAATATTCTTAATCTTTGGTAATTTAGTGTCACCATCTATTATCACTAATTAGTATATGAATTACGTTTTAATTTAAAAGAGTAATTTAGGCAAAATGAAGAAAAATACGAAATATAAATTTTTTAATAATATTAGTTGATCATAAATTACGAATAGTCGGGAAATGAATCATCGCTTGAATCACGTAATTCAAGTAAGTAAACGAACAATTTCTCTATTTTTCTCACTTACGCATGATGACTAATGGAATACATAAAAAATGAGGAGAAAAAATAATTGCAGTTTGTTAACACATGAAACTGAATGACCAAATCCCCTTAGCTTCAGGAAGAAAAATTGTACAAATGTTTAATTACAATTCTAGCACTTATATTATTTGCTAATATTTATGTACACATATGTTACTATTCAAAGAAGCGTTTATTTTGCTTTCATTAATCAATGCCTTCTTTGAATTGAATATGTATTTAGCAAAATTTACAGAACTTATTGCTTAGATTTGTTAAAAATAAAGCAAAGCCTCTCTATTTTGAATCAACTTTTCTATATAATCTATCTATCTATCTATCTATCTATCTATCTATCTATCTATCTATCTATCCATCTATCTTCTCATTTATTAATCTGTCAAAGTTCAGTTACCAAAATGCACATGTTTCATCAGAGGGAGCTAAAATTCTGTTATTATTTCGTAAGAATTGAGCATTTATGAGACAGCAACTCGTTACACTCAATTTAAGTAATCAAGAACTCCAATTAAAAAAGACACACTTGACAAAAATTTTGAAAATGGAAGCGTAATTTTTAAGATTGAAACAAATGTTATACATAGTCTTATTTTTCTTTCATTTACACAATTTGCAATTCTTAGTTTTTTGAACTAAAAATTATAATTGATGCAAACAAAAAGATCAATTAAATTTTAAGATCTACAATTGAAGCCAAAAAGTCTTATTATTTTTTCGGGAAAAATTAACTTAATAGTCAATAAATAAATAAATTAATTGTTCTATAAACAATCTAAAATTTTATCACCTCCCACGATTAATTAATTAATTAAATGTGGGAGGTGATAAAATGGCAAACTGTGTTTTATTTTTAATTAATCTCCAACATCACTCCCATCAAAAGCCTGCAAGGATAAGTCAAACAACGAATCATCAATCTATTTCACATTTCTATGCTTTCAAATGCAACAAAAACTCGTTCTTGTTCTCTTTACAAAAATTACGATTTCATTTTCAATTTTTGTCAAGCGTATTTTTCTGCAAAATTTTTTAAGTATTCTTTCGCTTAATAAATTATATTTTTTAGACAAATAGAAAAAAGTATTGAGCTAAGAGAAGTAAGTCTTGTCAATATGAAGTGATTGGATAGAATTGCAAGCACGAAAAAAATGAGTCATTCAAAAATTATAAGTTTGTATTTACAGGAAAAATATTGATGAAAAATAAAATCATAATATTAGGCTGAAATTTTGAAATTTAATTTTTTTTTTCTCGAATTATAACAATTTGAATTTTAAGAATTACTTTATCTATACAAATTCCGTAAATAAAAATTTTTTACTTCATATGCCAAAAAAATCATAGCGCTAATTAAAGCAAACCCTACATTTCAAAATCCAACTTATTTAGAATTAATAAATCATAATATCGAGTTTCAATTTCTAACTTTTTTTTCTAAAATGCCCTTTTAATCTTTTAAATTTAGTTTGTTAATCTGACAACAAATAATTCAAATCTTAGAAACCATTAGCGTGCAAGTAATATTTCGTTATAACTATTCCGTGACTGATACCAACCACGAATCTTTTCGCCTATATTATGAAATCATCTATTTAATTTATAAACAATATTTACTGCAAAATCTTCAGATAATAATTTTAACTAATAAATTCTTACTTTTGCAAATAGCTAACGAGAATTATTGTATAATTTTACCTTTAGGAAAACTGATTAGAATTTGGTCTCAAACTTTTTTATGTCTTATAAAGAAGTTTTATAGCTACTTATTCTACTAAATGAAGATTTTTAGTTAAGAAGAAATAGAACTAAATACCACACTAAAAATATTACTAAGAATAGTACAGTTTAACTAAATATCACACACTAAAATTAATTTCGATCTTAATATATCTATATATACATGTGATGAAAAACAAAATGTAGCAATAAAATTATGAAAATTGAGCTGCTTTCAACTTTTAACGTCACTTAGTGTCCAAACTATAAACAACTTTAACAAACTCTACAAATGGCAATTATTTTGTCTTTGCAAACTGTAGAAATAATAACAAAATCTAAATGCCATAATTTAAACTGATTTGAAGTTATACTAATCGAACAATGAAATGATATCATATCATTTCATTGTTCGATTAGTATAAGGCTTTACAAACAGATATATGCATAAAAGTTTGAGGAAATTTAATCAAAATATGTAAATTGAAAATTTTCACTTTTCATACAAAAAATTGAAAGTTTTATGAAGAATAGAAATTTTTCTAAATTTTATCAAATGAAAGATTCGCGCAAAGAACACAGAATTAAAGACTATTGTGTGCAAAACAAATATATAGCGGAATTTTTAAAAGCATTAAATGATAACATATGCTACAGGATAAATTTTTATCGAACTGATAATAATTTAGCAATTTAATTAGATATAGCTGACTTCTATGATTAATAATAATGACCTAATTACTGTAGTTTGAAATGAGCAAATATTGGCATTTCATAGTTGAACGATATTATCCAATTTTTTTGCTTCTTTCAGTATTCATTCTGTGAGATGATAAATGAGTAATTTAAAGTAATTTATACCTCATTTCCGTTTATATTCTAGAAGAAACTGTGACTAAATTGGATTATCTAAGAAAAACAAAAACTCTTCCTTCAGTAGGAAATAAATGAAGAAAAATGTTATGTTGTGGTGATAGTGATCAATAGCAATAATATTAAACTTCATATGTTACAAGAAAAGACTAGAAACAATACACCTTTGTTCAGCAATTTCATGCAATTGATCTATTAATTAACGATTATTACTCACAGTTAGTAAACTTGAATAATGGTGCACTCACAACAGCTGTAAATAATTTTAGTAAAAAGTCGTCAATCGAATATCTTAAATTTCCATAACACAACAGAGTCATGTTATTATTATAACTAAGTAACACACAGTAATGACAGAAATAAATTGATATATAAATTAGAATGAACTAAAATAAAAAAATAGTTTGAAAAATTGTATGAAATTAGAAATGAAAACAATCGTAGTCATGAAAAATTTTCAAAAGAAGAGTGAAAACATCAGTGAACATTTTTTTTATAAAAGCGAAATTTTGTAAGTGTAAGAATTGAAGATTTTCTAAAATAACAGATGTAATAAACATGTTACTTTTCATATATTCATATCTAATAAAGTAATTACTCATTTTATGAATACAAATATTGCAAAAAGCGATATTTTTATTTGAAGGATGAGAAATTACTTTAAATTCAATGTATCAGAAATCAAGCAATAAAAAGTACGAATAAAATGTATTATCATAAATAAATATAACCAAATTCACACAAATGTGCAGATTCTGTGTGAGAATGAAAAAATGCGATATTGACTGAGAATATCTTCATAACTACCAAAAAAATTATTTCTTCCCTATATGATAGTGAACAATTAATACGAAACAACTGCCTTATAGCAATTAAAAATATCTCCATAAGTGTAATATAAGTAAATAATATTCAGGATTGTACTGATTTTAACGCTCCAAACAGCCTAAACATTCCTGTTTTCTCCTTCTTCTTTCTTTCTTCATTAACAAAATGGTAATTTCTTATTTATTGCAAGTGGTCGTCAACAAGTTGACTGACCTATAAAAGGTTGAAGAACGAAGTAAGTACATATGAACGAAGAGAGGAATAATCTTCATATCCATAAAAGGTAATTATAATAAATTGTTTCCAAAATTAACGAAAAGTGAGATTTTAGAAGCGAGTAGTTCAAGTAGATAATACATAATAAATCTAGCAATCGATTATTACAATTTTTGAATTTTCGATTGGTATCATCTCTTGACTTGTTCACTTCAATACTTTTATCTGTGTGACTCGCACAAAGGTGATTGATGTAAAATAAAAGTAGCCGCCTGTCTTATCTAATGATCGAAATTTCTATATATTTTTTTTGTCCTTTTTTAAAACATTTTCAAATTACAAAATTTTAAACTTTCAATTTTCACTATTTTGTTCAAAAATTACATTTAATGATACATAAAATTATGTTGTTTACATTTTAATAATTTTGTGATTTAGCTAAAGCTAATTAAATTGTTACATTATATTTCAACACTTATTTATTCAATTATAAGTCATTTCTAACAGTAGAAAAACTATCAACGATGAAATTTAGCACGATAAAAAAATTTTCTGACATATTTTTAAAATGGTTATGAGAAAGCTTTACTGCATACAATTAGTCAATTTAACTAATAAAATACTGGACTCTTTTGATAATTGTGTATAAATAGTCAAATTTTGAGAAAGTGAACTATTTCGAAGAGGTGGAATTATTCTGTGGCCTTTCATTTCTTTACTTTTACAATATATTCAATACTCGATAGTATAAAATTGGATCATTTACTAAATTGCACTCATTCAAAAAACTTAAATTTCCCACAGTAATTCTTGTAAAATTCAATACTGAATTCAGAAAATAATAACTGAAATTCTCAAATTAAATAGTAATATTTAAACATGCATTCAGAAACGATTACTATTATACATTGAGAAAAAAGCACTTTTATAAAGCATTTCAATGATTTATTTTATTTGTGTCAAAAAATGAATTTTATGCTTAAGCAGTTAATGTACTTATAAATTGTTCACCATAATCTATTTATGCTAATCCCAATTATAATATTATTCATTTGAAAGCTAGCAAAAACAAAGTTTCATCAAAATTTACAATTTCAAATTGCAAAAGCTTACTGCAATCAAAAAATGACAAGCAAATGTAATCAAATGTTACATACCATATAATATGCCGGTTTTTTGGCAACTTGTGGTGGTGAACTCAAGAAAGATTCTGTTTTTCGTAGCGCCAATGAATTACAATCAAACGAAAGAGTTTTCGGCAAAACAGCTGGTGGTGACTGAATGGGAGTAAACGAATGCCGCGAACTGTTTGCTTCTGAATCGTTTCTTGATTCAATTAGCTCTTGTACTGCCACTGACTGTATAGATTTATTTCGTTGCTTGGCTAATTTCGCATTCAATTCATCACTAATCTGCTTACAAAAATAAACATTTATTACAGTTATTTCATGTTATTTGTGATGTTATGCTAGACTTCATAACAATGCATTTAAAAAGTTGCAAATTCAAGTACTCTATGCAATAATCTTGATTATTCTCATATTATTTTATTTAAAAAAATTCTCATTTTTTTCTTAAAAAATTATAGCGTTTTGTGTTTAGTCAACTTCATTTTTTAAGACTTGAATAATATAATTTTTGGAACGAAATAATTTGCAATTACCTTGTTAAATTAAGTGCAAACACTGACTTCCAATAAAATAATTCAAGAGATCTAATCTGATCATTTTTGAGCAAGCATAAAAATAACGTAAACTAATGAGCGACAGCTTTAAACATATTGAAATTAAAAACAAATAAAATAACGCATTTGCGTAACAAATTATAAAACTGTATACAAAGCTAGGAACTTAGATTAAAATTCATAAAAGCGATAGGTATTTGCTAAACACTGTCAAAAGTTATCACTAAAATGGTTGAATAAAACTCATAAATCAGTTCATTATTTTTCAAGTTGTTTACAAACTGTTTCTATTAATAATATCGAAAATTTTAGCAATATGAATTAATTGAAAACGTTTTAGACAAGTTAGAAAGAGCAATGAATTAACGATGAAAAGTTATTGCTCTCATTAAATTGCTTAATTATTCAATGCTAAACTTTTTAATTAATTATGCTACTAAACCTTCAAATTAACCTCATCAAGAGAATGATCTCTAAAAAATTTCTTCGACTCTTTTTGCATACGTTTGTTTTGATGCAAAATTGGAACTATTGGAATAATCGATTTTGATGGTAAAAATAATGAATCATTTCTTTCATTTCTATCCGACTCATCAGTCATTTGATCTGAAACAATGACAGGTAACGATTTTTCGATTAATAAAATTGAATTTTGCAAAATTGTTTTTTTCATTCAACGACTATTAAATACAAAAATTAGCTTGCTCATCTACCAGTAATCATCGTTGTCATTATCTATATTTAATAAATATTGAAGATTTAATTTGCTTAATTTAAAGTCTGCTTATTTTAATTTTATAATGAACAATTCTCTAGGAAAATATTGTCAAAAATTCTAATGAATGAATTAACTGAATACATGAAATTTACAAAGTAACCCACCTTTAGAAGCAATATGAGGGAATCTTGCTAGCGTGCTTTCTGACGGTAAAGTTTGCTTCAACACTTGTGTTGTATCCTTCATCCATATTTCAGTATTAGTAATTGATGTATTTCTAGAAGTCCGTTCTTCCATGTTATGTAGTGTTTGTCTGATCAACTTATCCATATCTATCCATTCATTATCCGGTATTGTCAAACTTGACGGCATTTGTTGCTTTCCTGATGGTTTTGGTGGTGGTGTTGGTGATTGCAACGAATAATTCTCCGATAATTTGCTTTGTTCGATTAAAGTCACAGTATCACCAATAGTATTAACGTCCTCCACTTTCAGTTTTGCCAATCTTTTTTCTAATATTGCAGCTAATTCTCGATCAGCCATAGTGTCCACACATTCGTCAATTACTATCATCTATTAACCTCCTAGCTATTAGTTTTAGTCTCTATCTTAATGCTTACAACATAAGGTGAAAGTGCACAAATGAAAGAACTTTCAAAAGCTGCAAATCTTTACTTTTATCGTTTCTTTTTTGCTGATATCTGATATTAGTTTACACATTAGAGCAAACATTTCAGCAAATGATACAGACTAACCAACTGCCTGACTGCCCATTTCTTTTACAAGATTAACAACTCCAAGATCAATCGCAGTGAAAGATAGAAAAGATTTACTTCTCAGTTCCTTAAGCTTTGATTATTTCTCGCACAATCTTAAAGAATTGAGTTGAAAAATGAAGCACAGTTTTTCATTTCCATAATTTTTTCTAATTTACTCTTCTGATTTTTATAAGTATAATTTTGTTCATATCAGTAAGTCAGTCTGCATGAAATATCGCTTCTTTTGACAATAACAATAAATTAGGGGACTAACTTGAAGGGAAATAAAGAGTTCATGCCTGATAATTTTGCTGAAACAATTAAGTGATAACATTCACTATCACAAATTTTAATATGAAAATAAGTTAATATATTTAAATGCTAAACTTTCATATTTATTTATTTTTTATACTTTCTAACAACTATTTAAAAAAGTTATATTTTTACTTAAAGTTCGCAAACATAAAGAAAAAAGTAAACTTTTTTAATCTCAAATATTTCTAGCAAGATAAAAATGCTACTAAACTTGGCAGCATATGCATTTTGAACTAATTTTCTCAATTGCTTTGCAAAGAAATTAAAATGAACCAGCGCAATCCTGATACCACTTTGCTTTGCATGTAATTAGTTAAAAGGTGAAATCTGAGTCTTTAAACATCGAGATATTCTTCGAAACCAGTCCATATGAATTACTGCTTCAATTTTAACATAAAAAAAGAAAACTGACAGTCAGTATATTTACATTTACGATATCCAGATATAACCGAAATTCATAGTGTACTACAAATATATGTACTAAGATATTTTATCTTTATACAAATTAACACAAGTAAATAGCTGTGATTAATTTTGACAATGTTATTCTACATCTTATATAGTATGCGTTATTTTCCATTTACAACTTTCAGTTTAAATTCATCTCGTCGATTATATCGATCATTTATTTAACTTTTTCTATAAAATATATTCTGACGTAATTCTATATCGATGCTTCATGTTTCTAAATCACTCACATAAAACAACCTTAAGATATCTATTTCTCTTCTTCTGCGTTTTGGTGATTTTTGTCTAGCAAGACTTCAAATTCAAGTGAAAAGTAAATACCAAAGTATTGTCATAGAAATGATATAATGAAAAAATCGAAAATAATGATACAAATCAGTCATAAATCAAAAGTTCAAGTCAATTTTAAATTACTTGTAAAGTGATTGTATTACAACTACATTGTGATGAATTTAAACAAACGTTCCTTGGCCAATTATTTAAGACTATTGATACTTAGAATTACTAAAAGGTGTTGAATATAAGTTTTGGAGAAAATATATAAAGTGTCTGATGTTTTTTTCACACTGCAAAAATCAGTGAGCTTGACTTTTACAAAAAATTTCAAAGCATTCAACTGAAAACGGCTCGAATGACCTTTCTTTAGCTTTATTAATTCAGATCAAGTTATTCGTATATTACTCGTTAGCATATGTTTCCGTCGATGGACAAGAGCAAATTAAATGTCTATCACCATACTGGTCATCAATTCGCCCAATCGATGGCCATACTTTGTGTGCACACCAAGGCTTTGGGAATCCGGCCACTTTGCGAGAATATGGTCGGTTCCAATCGGTAGCCGTTAAAACAGATATGGTATGTGGTGCCATCTGGAGAAAAACTAGTATTAACAACAAATTTATTCAAATAAATTCAACTTCTTTTTTACTAATCAAAATAAGTCATATTTATAATCACGTTACAAGATTCTTCAGTAGTACCATTTTAATTATTAAATCTTTGAATATAGGGCAAACTAAAATAGTATTTTAGTATATTGCATATTTTACACCAAAGCATGTGCTTCTAGATTACTCGTGTGCAAGGGATTAAAATCTTAGCATCTTTATTAGTATAAAACCAAATTTCTGTTTTATAACACAGGTAGTGACTATCTCTTAATAGCACGTACAGTATATTTGTGAACTTAAATGTCACTGAGCGGAAACATCACAAAAGTATGGAGCGAAAAAGACCTTAAGAGGATTAATATTTCTGTCCATTTTGCCCTGTTCAATTAGCGAAATTTCTTCACGAATTGATATTAAAGAGTCGATGAAACGATCCATTTCACCTTTATCTTCGCTTTCTGTTGGCTCAATCATAAGACAATCATGAACAGGGAAAGACATTGTTGGTGAATGAAATCTGAAAATGTTATGTGAAACTGATTTTCAGATTCACTTGAAATTTACAGATAGCGTTAGCAAGTGATATACTAGAATATAAAACTGCATAACAGTTATTTTGTGCTAGCAAAATCAAGAATTAATCAGTTTCAGATGGTAAAAGTTGAAATTTTATTTCTAATTTAGTTTGACTATAAAAAGATAGAGTTAAAAGTGATTAAAGTGAAATTCTTACAGTTTTAAAAGAACTAGGAAGGATGCAATGTCCCAAAAATTTGTTTTATTTACAAAATAAAACTTACCCATAATCCATAAGCCGCTTAGCAATGTCAATCACTTCTATACCTGCTGTTTTTTTAAAATTTTTGCAATTAATAATAAATTCGTGCGCTACTAAACCTTGTTCACCCTATAAACTTGAATTAAAACAAAAAATTCTTCATTGTCTATGACTGATAGAAAGGTGAATTACCAACTTTTCGAAAAAACATCAGAAATTCAAAATGTTACATGTGAGCATTGCATTACCAGGTATATGCATTGCATTAAGTATTTAGCAGAGACTGTACGAAAGTCAAAATAACTATGATAAAGTATCACAGAAATTCTTGCATGTGATTTTCTAAGTTTATAAAAATTATGTAAGTTTCAAATTTAAAGTAAAATCTTGCTAATCTCATTAGTATCAACCTTAAAAACGATTTGATACGCAGTTTCTAGTCGCTTTGCCATATAATTAGCATTCAGGACAGCGATTTGTGAAGCTTCCTTAAGACCAGTATTAGACATCATGCGAATATATGCCCATGTGATCGGAATAATGCTGCAAAGTAAATTTAGAAAGAATCATATATCTCAACAAATACAAAAAATGAGAACTTCAGAAAAAACACACAGGAATGCTAAAAAATTTGAAGTTACTTGATCAGATAACTAATCCTACCTGCTTGAACCATATGGTGCTGCACTTACTGCACCTGTTTTTCGATCATCAATAGGTACTACACAGTGACCAGGAAGGAACGGAGCCAAATGTGATTTCCTGAAATTGACAATTCATTTTCAAATTAATCACATGACCCAATAATTTTTTAGATTCTAGATAGATGTCCTTTTGTTTTTACAGCAAAATCATGAATGGAAATTAATTCATACAGTACGGAAGAAAAGGATTTAGTAGCATGGACTAATAAAGAAATTTCGATAAACTGTATTCCATTTATCAATACATTTTAGTTTATCAACATATCGAAAAACTGTTGAATGAAATGGCTAAAAATTATAATTGAAAGACGCAAAATTCAATTATTATAATTAATAATAATAGTAACATTATTTAATAATAATAATAGTAATAACTAATAGTAGTAGTAACATTACACAATAAAATTAATAATAATAATGACACATAATAATAATAATAATAATAATAATAAAATTTTAAGAGAGGAGCAAAATCCTCACACTCCTACTGGGCCAACACCTGGACCTCCACCACCATGAGGAATGGCGAAAGTTTTATGCAGATTTAAATGTGAAACATCACTACCATAGTCACCCGGACGACATAAACCTACCTGAGAGAGAAAAAAGATCAAACAAACATTAAACATGTTAAGCAATTTGAATATTGTTCGAAGTTCATTTCATCAGATTCAACAAATATAATTGTAAAGAAAACTGCAGTGAGATATGAATGCGACGAAGAAGTACTCATTACTTGAGATGAATACTTAAACGTGTTGTAGGATGCTATGTATGATACTAATTTAAAATTTATAAATTGTTCACTTGAGCATTCAAATTTGCGCCATCTAAATAGACTTGTCCACCATTTTCATGAATTTTAGCACATACGTCAACGATTGACGATTCAAAAACACCATGTGTCGATGGGTAAGTTATCATAATTGCTGCCAATTCATTTTTATATTTTTCAACCTGAACTTGTAATAGTTCAAAGTAATGATGCAGAAATAAAGACTATAGCAGAATTCACTGACTTCATTTTTTAGATACTTGGACAAACTATTACTATGCAACCTTTCAAGAACGTTAGAAATATTAATAATTTTCCAATAATTTGTACCTCTTACTAATAGAATAGATAAAGCCAAAAATTCATCAAATTATTATGTAGGATTAAAATAAATTTCAATTTTAAAGATACTACCTTTGAGCTCAGATCCTTGAAACTAATATTACCATGTCGATCTGAGTCTACTACAACGACACGCATGTTTGCCATTTTTGCAGATGCTGGATTAGTGCCATGAGCTGATATCGGTATCAGACATACCTGAAATTTATTATTTGTGACGGGTGAAATCTTTAGACAAACTTTATTACACCACATTGTATCTAAATTAAATGATTAAGGTGTTTGGACAGTATTTGTAATGCTCAACTGAACCAAAACATCCGAATAAGAAATAAATGATTTTAATTTTCTGCACTCTTAAAATTTCTAACTTGTTTTACGGCACTAAAAATTTTATCATGAAACAAAAAAAACACCAATTGAAAGGTAAAGAGTGCTGTGGATGAAAAAAATTCAACAAAAATAACAAAAAACATTCACATCAAAATAATGGAATGACTGATAAGACTCACATCTCGCTGACCTTGACCAATTGATTGTAAATATTTACGAATCGCCAAAAGACCAGTAAACTCACCATTAGCACCACTAAAAAAATGAAAAATTATTTTATGTATTTGAATGACAATGAAAGTCTTCAAAACTTTATTAACAGTTTTTATCTAAATGACAATTACTTTCATATTTTCTGCTCATAATCTTCGAGGAATGCTAATGCTTTTTATTATATATATATATCAAAACAAAGGCATAGAATGCCGACTTTAGCAAGGTTAGAAGTGTTTTGCAGTTGAGATTTATGGATAAATAATATAATAATAATTATCAATTTGAAAAAACTGTACGTAAAGTCTTCAAAATTAAAATTTTCTGAATTTTTGTATTATGTACAAATTTGGAATCACTCCAGTTATCAACAAATGTAAGATAAAAAAGAAATTGTAGCTAAAGAATAAAATGCATATTGTATGCTTAATGCCAATTTTATAAAATCATGCGAAATTCATCTCTTTCAGCAAAAAAATGATATGTATTATCAAATAATGTTAAAAAAGATGAGTTATAAAAAATTTATGACGAACCTATTGGGTTGAAGTGACACTTTATCGTAACCAGTAATTTCACATAACCATTTTTCTACTTGATCGAAAATTGCAGCATAACCTTTCCATTGATCTCTTGGCGCAAATGGATGTAAATTCATAAATTCAGGCCATGTGATCGACTGTCAACGAATATTAAGTTTTCATCATTCAATCAGATTTTCATAGAAATTTTGAACAATTAATGCAAACGAAAATGTATTTATCAAGCAGAAAGAAATTGAATTATCAAATTTTATTAACTCTCTTTTGAAGGTTGACGAGAGAGGAAATACAATTAACAAAATGTCAAAATATTTATCAAAAATAAAAAATAAAAAAATAACAGACAGAAAGTTCAGCGCTTCCGTTCAACTTCATGGTACACGATCCAAGTGGTATCATGGAATGCACTAGAGAAACATCTTTGTTTTCTAATTTCTTCATATATCGAAGTAAAAGAGTTTCACTATGATATGAATTAAAAACTGGATGAGTAAGGAAATCAGTTCGTCTACCGTACACCGTATTTCCAATTAAAGGCCCAGTACAATCCCGTATTCCAATGTTTATTTCTTCCTGAAAATGCTAATTTATAATAATAATCCAAAACATGATATTAAAAACTGATTCATTGTGAAAGTTGAAAGTCTTGTTTTATTTTCGCTAAGCAAAGTTTTAGTATCCTAAAAATATTATGCCTACCGGGCATTTTTCAATCCCAAAAATATGTAATAGATCGGCAAGTTCTTCAGCACCTGTCGTTTCATCAAGTGATACGCCAATATGCTTAGAATCATTATAATACCGTACATTCAACATTTTATTAATACTTTTCTTTTTGATCTCATTCACGTCGTGGACAGCAATTTTGAGAGTATCAAAGAAATCCTTATGTACTACAGTAATTCCCACGTTTTTCAGTTCTGCAATAAGATCAAAATGTTAAACTTTTCTCAATTCTGAATCTTCTATGAAACCTCTAAATTAAATGGGTGATCACTACGATGACTGTGAAATGTTGACATAAACTTGGGAGATTACACGAAGCAATCTCACTACACATTGGATGTAAGGTTAACAATATGTTATTTACGCTGAGCTAAATACGCGGTATTTTTGTGAACTGTTTGAGCAATAGTTGTTAGACGTTTCGGCCCATGATATATTGCATACATGGCGGACATATTGGCTAATAAAGCTTGCGCAGTACATATATTTGACGTAGCTTTATCACGTTTAATATGCTGTTCACGAGTTTGTAAAGACAAGCGATACGCAGATTCTCCATTTACATCTCTGAATATTAACTCTAAAAGTTGGTTTTAAATATTTCGAAATTTCATTTCTTTTTTCTATGAAATTAAATTCTAGCACATGAGCGATTAATTTACTTGTACATTTTGCATACGGTTGTAGTTTAATTTCAATAATAAATAATTTTTGAAGCTTACTTGCTTAGGCCAACAATACGACCAGGCATTTGGCGGACTAGGGAAAATTGTTCATCATTTTTTTTGACCGCCATGAAACCAGCATGAGGACCACCAAATCCCAACGGTACACCAAATCGCTGTGAACTACCAACTGCCACATCTGCGTCAAGCTCTCCCGGAGAACGAAGCAACGTTAATGATAAGAGATCGCAAACGAGGATAACGAGACTCTAAGAATAAGTGATTATCTACTACTTTTAATTAAATTCAGTGTATACAGAGATAAAAATTCCAGCCTAAGCGTTTTTACATTACATATATTCAATTATATAGCAATTAAAATAAACGAACAACAATTTCCGCCAGCAATTAAAAAATGGATTGATCTTAATTGAAAATCATTCTCCAAAATTAAAAAGAAATGTCTTACATATAGCATTTAAACACTTATTAAGAAATATACTTATTCAATAAATGAGCGAAATTAATTTTTCAAATTATTATGGTAATTAAAATTTTATGTATAGTCATATTTACTTAGAACATCTTCTTAATAACGAAAGTTTGTGTAAATAATCAACAAATAACCAATCAAAACCTTATTCTCGTGTGCTTTGTTGATTACATCATCCAGTAGCGAAATTTCACCTTCTGTGTTTGGATACTGTATAATTATACCGCCTACTTGATGATCAAAGTTCGGATTTGTTATGTTTAATACACCAATATCAATTTCTAGAGGTCTGAATGAACTTTATATTTTGTAAATCTTAGTTTTCCTTCACTATCTGACCTTATCAGTGTCATAAATTTTAACATAAATTATCTAATAATACCATAAATTTAATCAATAGATTCATACTACTCTACCTTATGCGACAATACTCTTTTCAGCAGTGAGCACAGAAAAGGCGAAAAAATATTAATAGTAAACATATTTTGTAAAAGTAGGCAGGAAACAATAGCAATTCATCTCATTATATCACTATATATCATTGTATTATGCAAAAAAAGCATGGGTTATAAAAACTTGGAGAGAAATAAATTTCTGACTCATAATTTGGTAAATATTTCAAAAGCAGACCATTGCAAAAATTAATCAAATATTGAAAATAAGAGAAGTATACCCACTGGGCGTGTGTCTCAATTACAGCAATATTTTGCGGATGCAGTAAGGGGTCAATGAGTATTTTGTTGCGCTTGGTGAAGCGTACAGCTAATGTCATAGCTTCAGAGCAAGCTGTACTCTCATCAAGCAATGAAGCATTTGAGATAGCCAATCCTGTCAAATCACTTATCATTGTTTGAAAATTCATCAAACATTCTAAGCGACCTTGTGCTATTTCTGGTTGATATGGTGTATACTGAGTCAACCTAAAAATCATAATTATACCAGATAAATTTAAAGTTGCAGTCAATGGAAGAAAAAACAATTATCAAAAATTTAAACAAAAAAATGCTTTCTCACTATTGATAGCATATTGATAGAGTGCTGAATATATAAAAAAAGAAGCAATCATTTCTAATTTTAGTCTAAATTAGCAAATATTTGAAATTTAAAAAAAAATTAATTATTATTGTAATCGTTTTGTTATCTTAACTCACCATCCAGCATTTTCCAACATGTTACGTCTAATAACAGAAGGTACAATGCAATCGTAGTAACCCATTCCAATATATGAATTGAAAATTTTATTACGATTCGCTAACGTTTTAAGCTCTTTCAACATTCGAGCTTCATTAACTGCGGTAGGTAGGTCTAAAGGTCGTTGCAAACGAATCGCATCGGGAACAGCCCTCTGCGTCAGACAGTTCAAATCCTACAAATATTAAATTCGTAAATTTGTAAATTACTTTCTGTTAGTTGAGATGAAAAAATCTGACAAATTTCAAGAGTTTGAATATAATATAAAACTTTAATCCTTGAAGTCGTGTTTACTGCGGAAAGATACATGTATTATTCAAAGGGATAAAATAAAACATGTCGATTCATTCTTAGCAATTCGAGTTGAAAATTAAATATTTCTGAATGGAAACATGCTTGCCACGAACATATAAATGAAATATGAATCAGAGAGGAAGAATAAAATTTTGCAAGTTTAAATAATGTTCTTGATTTTATTTCAGTGATTAAATGTGTAGCACATGATGTTTCTTTTTGCAACATTTCAGAAAGAAAACTGATTTATCAAAAGAGAAACTACACAATTTACAGTGCTCAGATTTTCAATTTTTCTACGCCAGAAGAGTAATTTATCTCTAATTCCATAGAGAGCCATACTGAATAAAAGTTGCAAGCAGTTTTTTACAAGCATAGTTTTCAAAACATTAAAAAATAAATAGCTATCTATGAAAATTAAATGAAATAGAATATCAAATGAGTTACTTTACGCAAATTATTGCAATAAAAAATTTTTAAGAATTTCTTCAATAAAAAGATCGGTTAAATATCATTAAATATAAAGAGAAGAGCAACAAATGAATCAAAAGATAAAATGAAAGATTAGAAATAAAATGATTAAACAACCCTAAAGCCGAGATAATCAAGCATGAGCTGCTTCTCGACTTCTGATGGTCCAATGTGACGATCTGCAAAGCAGCCATACCCTGAGTATCTTGCAACATGCGTTAGTTGCGTAACACGACGAGGAAGTATTCGGCCAACAATAAGTGTGTACATTGCTAAATGATAGACAATCACTCATTTTCGCTTTATGCACAATTTTTCATTCTAATCAGTGATATGACATTAATCACATGATAGCAATAGTAATGGCTACGTTTTGAACTGCTTTATTTTCAAAATTTTTTCTTTTTCCTTATCAACCCTTCAGTACAGTATATATCAAATGATTGGTATAGTGTACAGAAATTTTTTTATTGCGCCTGAGAAAATAATGACTTTCCAAGGATTTGGTTTACTCTTGAATTGTTTTTAGGGGGTATGTATAGTAAGTCAAGTTTGAGATAAGACATTATATTTTTATGAGTAAAGGACTTCAGGATTGCTGTGTTGACTAAATTTCTAGTATCATACCAAAAAGCACGGTAACATTTATTTATCAAACCTATTTATCAAATCAATCAGTACTTGAGGTCCTCAGGCTATACCAAATGATTTATACGTTGAACGAATCAACAAATGATTTATTTTCTAGTAGCAACCTGAATCTAGATCATCATGTCAATTTAAAAGTAGTACCAGTATTTTACGAAATGCATGCACTAGCTATTCTTCTACCTTTTAAGTACAACATGCTAGAAGGTGAAATTTGTTTGGTAGCATTTATATCATATGTCTCACTTATATCCAATTCAACCAAATTTCAAATCGCTTCGGTTATCTTTTATGGTTATCCAATTCAAATGTCTTGCATTCCAACGGTGCAATGAATAACCCATATAATATCAAATAAATACTTTCGACCAAGCTATTTCGTACGTTCATGTTACTTTTCTGTTCTGTGGACGGAAAGTTCATAAAGCATCAAGTAATTTATCAGATCTAAACAAAATATTTAACGTCACGAAATGGTCAAGCAAGTCTCATTAAACACTTTCTTCAATCCCTGAAAACTTGATAAGCAGGGACATAATTACATCCCAAAATCTAAAACCTTACCACAAATTCTTTTCAAAACAAAAACTTAAGTCGCTTTATTAAAAACTAATTACGCCTAAAAATAAAAAAAAGAAAAACCAAGTATAGTGATATACGACGTGAGCCCTAAAATACAGTAGCGGTATGGTATCAACCTGCACAAGGTACATACATGATAAACTTAGCCCCATAATCACTACTACTAAGACTGCTATTCCCAAAACCTGTTGGTGAGAACATCTTTTTATCATAAATCTTAATGAACAAACTAGACTTACAGAGGTAAGAATAATAAGGCGAAAATGACATTTCCGATAAGTTTCTATGCACACAAAAATAATTATTAAAAATCAACGCTTGAAGTAACAAAGACAAACTGCCAGTTCTCTATGTTACACCATTTACTATTTAACAAAAATTAACTGTTGAAATTCCAGCGCAACAGGTTACAGAAATTTGAACTCATTTATCGCATGGAGGTGCTTTGCTAGTCACATGTCCCTCTTATGTATTGACAAAAAGTTGTAAACTGTGTTCAGCAGTAGAATATCCGAGATCATCTTATGCATAACCAATTTAAACAAAAGAAAAGAATCTTTTACAGTACTTCTAAAACAATATAGGATGTTTCGGGTACTGAATTCAATACTAACAATAACAAAATAGATATACATCTCTTGCATTACAGCTCAGAATAAAATAAAGACGATCATAGTGACGAAAAAGTCTTTTTCTATAGCAACATCTCAATATGGAAAAAAAAATGCAAAGACATTCACAATAGTTCGTTCTTTTACAAAGTGAAAAATATGTGCTCACACGAAAACGTGCATTTTTGAACTAAAGATTACGGATGCAGTACATTGCTTCATTATTCTAGAAACGAATTTTCACTGACATCATGAATCTAATGAACACGAACAAAAGTGCATGAAAATATCTTTGACACTTAAATTATCTAAATGAATTAAAAAAGAGAAATACATGATTGCAATTTCTATTTGCAAATACACAGCAATAAGAGCACACAAAAAATGATGTAGGATTTTTCAAAATAACAAAACCTGAAAAAGTTTCTACTTTTTTTTCAACAATAAATCAGTCATTGAGAAATTTTTGACAGGTATGACATTTAATAGTGAGGCAAAATAAATTTCTTACAAGATTAAATTCAATTACATTAAAAATGATGAACTTATCCATGAGTTATTTTGAAATATGAATTCCCAATAAACGAAAATTGCGAACTAATCAGAGCTGAAGCAGACTAATTCATGAATTACAATTTTCAAGCGAATCAATCTAAAAGCGACGTAAAGTATAGACAACTTAGTTTTTTCTGATTTCTTTACTTGATTCTGAAGGGACCGGATCTAAGCTGCTATTCCCTACCCTCCTCTTACGACTTACTCGTTTCTTTTCTTCTACAATTCGAAACAGAATTTCGTGAAGTTGTGTCGTCACAAATTCAGACGCCTTAAAATATCCAAAAAAATGAGACAGAAAATAATAAAAAAATTTTCAGTATTTATAAAACATTGTATGTAGCTAACATCATGGAAAACAAATGCATCTCTTGTATTACTGCTCAGAAAAAAGCGATAATGAAAATATACGTGTCAAATCGAGATGATATGAAAAAAAAAAGCTTTAAAAGGCTTGAATTCATCCACTGCAACCAGCCATTCAAATATATGTACTGAAGTAATTGAGAATCAAACAAAAATTGGAAAAAGATGAACAGAACTATACCGATGCAAGAAAGAGCACTGGGACTTCTGAATCAGGAGCTGTAGCTGAAAACTTCAATCGTTTCATTGACACCTTCTCTACGATCATATCCGAAAATATTTGCGAGTTCAATATTACTCTCTGATTACCCATTCCACGACCAACTAAAAACATCATGTTTATTTTTGAAGAAAGTCATAAAACAAAATAAGATTGTAGAATTTGCACATTATAATCTTACAAAAGTAAAAAATTATGTTGAGAAAGATCTTTTTATGACAGTAATGCCATAAACATCATCATAATATAAAGGTGAGTTCAGCCCAGATTTAGAAAACCAAAGTAATGAAAATAGCAGCATTTTTCGTAGCTAATTAATTTACTTATCTCATAAGAGATAGGTTTATATGTATCAATATCAAACTAATAAGAGTTTCCTAAGGAAGAAGCACTTTTGAAACCTTTTTTCCTGATTATTAATAATTAATGTTTCTGTTCTTAAAGAGATAACTGAAATGACAATAATAACGACGGATGCACCCATCATAATGAATTCTATAACTCTGTAGAATCAGTTCACAGACAAATTAGTTTTTGTTAGTAGAAATGTGGTTAACTAGAAGGTAAAAATTTAAATAATTGTAAAACAAAAAAAGGAAAAAACAAAAAGCATAGCTACCAATTCGATATGTAGGAGGAAACTCAAGGCCATATTGGTTAATATGCAAACAAGACAGGCCACACTCTTTCCATGATTTAGTTCGACTGTCAAACGAATGTAACTTGCACATGGCCTGAAAAAACCATTATACCAGTTTATCAAAAATTGTCATAGAGCAAAACCACTTCGCAAAATGGAAGCATAAGCGTACTACAGAACTTACACGATATATATTTACTTCACCTTCCTCACCAGTAAAAACATTTGATTTTGATGAAACTACGGCATTCTTTTCATGCGCCTCGATTGGTTTATTTAGTTTAGTAAGTGAAGTTGATGACGCAGGAAATGAATCCGTCTAAAAAAAAGAATGAAAAAGGACGCTGCAATGGAAATTTATTGGCGTTAAAAGTGAATTTAGATAACAAATAGCGCAACGAAAAACTAGGAAATTTTTGGATAAAAAGTTCAAGTAGGAAAAAAAATTAGCAAATGAACTATATGAGACATACAGAGCAAGATTGCTCCATGGAATCAATCTCATCTCATAGAATACTTGTAAACTGTAATATACTCTATAATTAGCAAAAATTAATAGGTAAATAAAAAAACCGACTGAGATTGAACTTCCTTTATCACTAATAATAAAAGATGATGCAGCTCCTTTCTGTTTAATTTCTTCGAAAACTTGCATTACACTTTTTGGAGTTGCATCTTTAGTATCAAGTTGTGTAAACCCATCACCAGCGCAACTGACAGTGGTACTTTTTTTTGTTTCCTTGTCCTGTAAGCATTCTCGAAACATCACAAATGTAGTAAAATCACTATAGAAGTATGTGTATTAGCTTCTGAAGTTATTTAACTTCAGAAAAATTAGGTAAATCCAATACAAAAATTTAAATGACAGTAGAAGTATTTCAATTTTAAATCAGTAACTGAGGCATTGATAAATTCCAAAAAATATCGCAAAAAGACCATAGTTTTTAGATTTAACGAAGTTTGCACATAGTTTCTGTACAATTTTATACATATACAGACTTATGTGATTGAAATTTTAATTCCTTTTTTTTAAATGCATACTTCATTATTGATGATAACTTTCTCCGACATTTTAGAGCCAAATATAAACGACCCAGTAGCACATGTCTCTTCGAAATCTGCTATGCGTACTTCAGGTGTATCTTTAGTAAGTGTTTTACCCAAATCTAATTTGATACTCTTTTCATCGGCTTTAAAACCATTTTTGCTAGCCAACCATAATTGATCGGCAGCAGATGAAAGTTTTGAAGATTTAAATGTGATCCTTTTGGTAGTCATTATTTTAACAAAAGATCCGACTGAAAAAAGGAAATAAAAACGGAACAACAAAAAGAATTAGCTTAGTACTCTTGATAATAAATATGAGCATCAGCATTCATTGACAAAATATTTTCGTTAATTAACATTAGTAATACAAATTAATATTTGCTAGCCAATTACAAGTTCAAAATATCAATGATAAATAATGAATGATTGATAAATAGTAAAAATCAATTGTTACTGGTAAAAATAACACAACATGAGTAGTACGATCAACCATGTGTGATTGTTGAATATACACAAGAAGACGCCAAATAAGATAGCATATACTGAACCAACAATCCATCAAAAAACAAGAGCAAAATAACTTTGTTTATAGCTTACGATCAGAATTACCCTTTGCAAGTTGAATACAAACCTCGCATGAATTATAACACACTGCGGTAAGTACTAACTGGCACAGGTAAACTCTTTTGTGTGCTTCGTTAGAGAAAAAAAGGCAGTAATAGAAAATCCAAAACGAAGAGAGTGCAAAGATTGAGAGAACTGACTTTGCTTTTTTCATAGAAGTTTTCTCTTCGTGCTTTACATCCCTTTTACACAGTGTTTTCTTTTCTTTCTTATTCTGCTACAAGTCTTGTTTTTATTTGCTTATTATACTATTTAATTATCAAATACTTTTTTAATTGTCACATATATGTATTTTCTTATTTTTGCAATGCTGTTCCATTCACTGTAATTTCTGTATTTATTATTATTTTTTCTATTGTTTTTTTAAATTCTCACTTATTTGTTATTAATTAATGATGCACTAACTAGAAAAATTAATATTTGTTTTCTACACTATTTTAAAAATTTTATGACTCTGCCGAAATTGCCAACAAATCATTTATTAAAATTCTTAATTAGAGTTGGAAAGTAATTTCAATTCTGTATCTGTTTTGTAGAAGTAAATAATAAAATTTTTTTTCAAATAAATTCATATTTGAATTTTTATTAAATGATTCGTAATTTTTTTTAATGTTCAGTAAGTTGTTTTGATCGTTTGCTAAATAAATAATTGCATAAATAGATAATGAACGAAGGATTAAAAGAGTAAATGAATTATTTATTGCCAAGAAGCATTTGTATTACTGATAAAAAATTTTTAATTCTTTTCGACACATTTTCACAATCAACAATTTGTGCAATTTTTCTTTTTTTTTTCTTGTATTATAGCATATTATTAATACATGAAAAATAAAATGGAAATATTTATTTTTCTTTATTAGTTTTTATTTCATATGATTTAAACCTGTCTATGATCGTACATAGTTTTGTGCTAGAATAATATCTATGAGAGTTAAAGGAAGGAACATTTCTCTGCTCAAATACCATTATTTTGCGGGCAAAAGAAAATTGTTCAATTACATTTTATTCCTTCCATGCCAGTCCATTCGACTTTTTTTGTCTTTTGTAAGACATTTATAGTTATCGATGACTGCTTATTTTCAAAAGCTTATATTTTAACATTTCGTTACGTTGCTTTTCAAGTTTGAATTTAACAGTGTAACAAGCATGAATATCAAAATAGTTACTACATAGGTGAATGAGTGATTTTAGTAAGTACTTCTTGCGGAATGAACCATTTCGCTTTCATCAAATTTCTAATACTGCAAATTAAATGATAATGAAGTGTAGAGCAAATTATATTTAGTTTAGTACAGTAAAGTAAAATAAAATGTAGTCAAGTGGAATGTGATGTGTTGTATTGCTAATGAAAGCAGTACATGCATGCTGTGGTACTTGTGAAGCAAAGTAAGTTGCGCGTTTCCTTCTTTGCTCATTTCTTTGCTAGTATTTTAAGGTATTTATGCAAAAATATGTAAATTTTTTGCTTGGCACGGATGATTGTTACTGTTTTTATCTAACTTTTAGTGATAGAAAAAGCAAGATTGACTCCTGCCTACATGAGAATAAATTTTTGTCTGTTTTTTGTTATAGCAATGCTGCATGCTCAGTGATATTTTTTAGTGTTTTCCTTTTATGTATGCAACATTTTTTACGTTTCTGAACTGGGTTCACTAAAACTTTGCATATTTTTCCTTATTATTTCGTTTGAAAATAAATTAAGTCAAATAAGTGCATTAATTTAATTGAATCAAACGTATAAGCTGCAATTGAAATTAATCTGATATGCAAATGACATGTGTTTTATTTTGTTCTTATTATGGTTTTTGTTAGCTTCAGTGACATTGACATATTTTAATATTATTGTGTTCTTGCCTATAGTGATACTTAATATTTCAAAATTTGCTCTATGAATAGAATTTACTGCGACTTACTAATTGCAATTTATAAATAATGAAATGATTAGAAACGTATAAGTAGGAAGTAAAAAGTTGTTTATGACAAGAGCATTAAGTTATCAGTTTATGTAAGTATTTAATAATATTAGTTTAAGGTTTATTACTTTTTCAGCTTGTTTGAAATGAAAAAGTTTGTCTTGTTCAATTATCAATATATTAACAACCATAATTCATTTATAAGCGAATGTTGTAATTTAATATGATTTAAAAAGGGAAACAATTGAAGTGCTTTTTTTTCGTTTTAAATTTTTGCTCGAGTTTGTGTTGAGAATGCGAATAATTCTTATGTAAATTCTATTCACAAAGCATATTTTGAGATATATAAAGTCACCCAATAAAAATATAACACTAAATGTCAAAAGTTCACCCAATAAAAATATAACACTAAATGTCAAAAGCTGATACTGATTTCGTTTGAAGAACAATATGTTGTGAATAAAATTTTCTTCCTTCATAAACTTGCGAACAATGTAAGAATTTGAAGAATCAATGTTTATGTTTGACAAATTTTTGCAGTACACACTGAAAACTGTTGTTACTGTTTGATTTCTACTCTTTTTGATCATTTTAATAGTTCTGGTTAATCACATTTGTCTGCTTTCTTGTGTAATGCTTTCAGTACAGTAAAACTTTCTCAAATAGTTTCTTTTGATTTCAAACATCAGTATATTACTGGATTAGTCATTATAAAATTAATGCTAGGAGCAAATATATTATTGCTTTTAATTTCATCAATTCAAGATAGTAATGAATTTAGTACTACATTACTAACTAAAAATTTATTATAAATAACAAATTGAAATTTCATGTATTGCTTGCATATAGAGGTTTTAAATGAAAACAATGTGCAGAAATAGTTCTTTTATGAATATGTTTATTACTTTCATCTTTCATTTTCTTCATCATTATTGTTCTAGACTGTTAAACGAAAACTAGAAATAATGTTCTTCGTGTTGTACTTTTCTCATCTTTGATGCCTCATATTTGGATGATTTTTTAGTCTTTTATCATATGTTGAAAACTGCGTAAATTCATATTTCAAGTATTTACCATTAAAATTAATTGCTTATTATTTGATATTTCATTACATTAATATTTCATAAGGATATAAAGATTTATTTACCGGCACCAAATTATCATTAAATTATCATTCTCTCGCTCATGATAATTACAGTTTTTATTTTGATAAAGATGAAAGCAATATCGATAAACTTTCAAGCAGTAATAATAACAATATTAGCTGATACTCTTATCGAAAAAAATACCATCCTAATTAAGTTTTGAAAATTTTTGGATTGGATATCAAAAGTTTGGCCTTCTCTTCACATTTTATCAATATTAAAGGCAGTTTTGTTTCAAACGAACATCATTCAAAATATTGTCTGTTGTCAAAAAATTTGACAAAAAAGCACCATTTCTGTGCTGATTTTTTCGAATTCAAAGCTTATTACCTTGCAATAAATTTTGATTTAAATATTATTATAGCCAATTCACTAGACTTATGAACACGTTTCAGCACATCCAATACCATAAATTTCAAAATTCGGCTTCATCGTATCGCATTGTCACTGTATATTTTTATCACCGACCATATTTCATACTTTCAGTGTATGTTTGAAATTGGAATTTGGATTTTGTCTGAAATGAACGATGCCAGACAGCATCACCCTACTATCATATGTGTAGAAAAGAATGAAAGGTAAAACGAAAGTTCAATTTCTTAGAGAAAAAAACAAATATGCAAATTTTTTGGGGTCAACCATAGTTCAACTGAAGAAATTCACCTCGTTGTTTAGTGTCATTATGCAATGGTCTTTGACGGTTAATCGCAGTGCACTTGGCATTGTGATTTCACTTTTCTTTGAAGACTTTCAAAATTTTCATTTCATTTGCTAAGAGTGGAAAGAGAAAAAAAGCATGCTCGTTCCTAGTCGTTTGAGTAATTTACAACAGATTTCACAGTCATTTATTTGCAGTTTGCATTTGCGAAGGCTGTCAGTAAGCTTTGGTGAATAATCGATTTTCTCACTTCGGTAACTCAATCAAGCCATCTCAAGTAAGAGCTCACTATCATTATAAATCAATTTCATTATTATTATTTTTTAATTGCTTCTTATCTTTTTTTGACTTTTATTCTGCAAAGAATTAAACAAACTGTGTGTTTTTCTAATCTTAATTACTTTAATGTCATCACTGCTGCTCTTCATAAAAAACTGTTAATCAGAGATATTCAAATGTAAGAAATTGACTGTGTTTAATTTCTGATATTGGAATATAAGATTGTGTATAAATCAACATTCTACTTAATTTTTCGTTTTCTCGGAGTCAAATAATCTAATAATGGTTTATCGACTTTTGCGCGAGAAAGTAACTGAAATTAATCTACCAGATGAAATAATCGAGATGATATGTTCTTATATTTCACCTATAGAGGTTCATTTTTATATTTTATAAAAATATGCTTATTTCTAAAGCAACAGTCTTGATGGCGGAGTTTTGTTCAAATTCAGTAACTTACGATGGTGAGGGAAATAGGTTTTTGTACCGATGTCTTTCATTTTTGTAAAAAAAGATTCCAGTGAATGTTCATCGTATGTTATTCGAAATTTAAAAAAGTTTGGAAGTTTTTCGAAGCTCAATTTACGGTTATTTTTTTTATCTGCAAGTATTATTGTAAGAATGAGCATGACGGCGGACTTTCAAGAAATATATGCTTTTTGCGATTAATATTTGTTGTCAAATATCTTTTATAAGTTTTGAATTTTTAAAATGAGGGAAGAAACTCGTCAGTATTTGAAATTTTTTTTCGTCGATTGCTTCGAAATGATCAAGGTACAAATTTGTTCAAGGAAAATTCAAATATGTATGGGATGCTATAGATATATATTTCTTGCTATAGATATATATTTTTTTATTTCTTGATTTTAGATATATATTTCAACAGTTTATTGAAGATTACTTTTTTGAGTGGTAAAGCTTTTTCAGTTATGCATTTCACGATGGAATACAGTCAGTAGGGGTTTCAATATAATGCTTCAGGAGATATATGCAAAGCATAATGTATTGGATACAACTGCAGACCCTAACAACTTTTTAGCTTTCATAAATATAGAGCATATTGGCAATAATAAGGTTCGCCTCTTTCATTGCCCTGCTAATTGAAACTTTGTCTTGTCTTTGTTACCAATAATTCTCTTTTCAGGGTCATAAGTTAAAATAAATCGCTTTTCAATTTTCTCTTATTTTTATTTTAGGAAATTGATAGAAAAATGCATATGATTGCTCGCACAGTTTTGCCGCATGTAAAAACGTTTGTTGGTACTGCTCAAACGTTGTGCACGTGTAAGATTCATAAATAATTTGGACTGTTTTAATAGTAGCGGAAATTATCATGACAGAGATAATAATTTATCAAAAATTAATTTGTAAGCAATGTAATGAACGTAAGGGAGATAAAGTTTCTTTAGTAGCAGCATATCCCAAATTAAATGCATGTTTGTTTGTTCTTTGTTCTCCTCTGGAAGTGGTGATTGAAGTTAGATTAACTCAAGTTTAGAGAGTAATTCCACCAAAATGATCTATTTTTTTTTAACATAAAAGCTCTACAAAAATAGAAACAATAATTCGATATGTAGCAAGATTTCACTGTTGACCAAATCATTACCGGGAAGTGGTTTGCCATGAAATTTATTGCATTAATTGTCAAAAAACTTTTTTCGTCTATCACTTTTGCAAAATGAATTGAAAACATTTGCAGTGGTGAGTTACATAGTGAGATATCAGCCCTCGGTGCTGATGCCAAAACTCCATACGCTTAGCATTCTGATGGGTGATGGTTACACTTGTGACAGTACTTTCTTCATTGATTTTTCGCCAGCTCGGTCTCTTTTGTTTTCTCATTCTTAAAATAATCAATACTAAACTATATTTTCCATTTTTGCCGTCAGCTTAAATCACATGAAAATTGCAAATATGTAAAGATTAGTAAAGCATTTCATAAGTCGGAATGCAAAATTTTGGTTATAGCTTTTCAGACTAAGTCCATTCTTACTTTCATAAAACTTTACATAATTTTGAACATGAATAATGCAACTTTCATCAGTTTCACGAAATTTTTGTTCCAGGAATCTTGCATGTAATGTGAAGCTCATCAAGCTATCGTTGACACTGTATGATGCGCCATCACCTATCACATGTTTCGATTTTCGTGTACTTTCACACTTTTTGGCGTGCTTAGTATCGAGCAATGGTGCGTTTCAGAGATCAAAATTTGTGTTTTCAATTGAATTTAGACATAAACTCCAACAAAGTGAGCAGCACCCATTCTAGCATGATCATTCGCCCAAATACTTATCGAATCTCAAGTTTCGAAATTCACATTTGCAGGAAAATGGCATTTAAAACTGACAGATATGACTATACGAGCTCAGGGTTGGTTCAGTCCATCGGAAATTAGACCCTTGCGGGCTAGTACTTTTATCTTCTATGTTAGAACAATACTGGAATGGGGCGTACAAATTCATACATTGGAATTGATCGATGGATTGAAAGTTCCACCTTATGTGATTGGTGGGACGCAGAAGCGACGTTTTTTGTACATGCATCATGAATACAAAGTAATACTGACAAAGACGAAAGTAAATTGAAATTGTGCACCAGAGTAGATAGAAGCATTTATATGAACATTGATTCTTTTTGATCTGCTTCATATTTCTGTTGAATTGTCTAATAGCTGTATGGTTTCTGAAACTTTTTGTTAACTAATCGCATGTCGTACATTTTCATTGTAAAAAATTTTTTTTAGGAAATGAAGCAGTGTTAAACTGAAATCAATTCAGGTTTTCTTGTATCTCGTAAAATATATTTGATTCGAGAGAATTTTTTTCATAATTATTCCAGGAATGTGAAAAACTGGTCATACACTATGATATCGGAATCGTAACACCGCATTATCTACATAATAAAATAAAGCATGATCAGTTACAGCTGGTGCAAATAGAAGAATCTCATGTTATTTACAAAGATGATTTCTTGAAATATCTTTGGTCAGCATCAAGTAAGCATTAAAAGTTACAACCGTATGTAGAATAAATTTTGTAGGGATTTTAATAATTTAAAATTTCCGTTAAGTGATTTGAAGATAGAATATCATTCAGGATTTGTAAATTTAACTGAGATCGAAACAGTAAGCTTAGATATAGTACAGTAGTACTACATTTCGTGTAATATTACTGCTACTAATGCTACTTTTTAGTTAATCGTAGATGTATGATATTTTATTGTTGTGAATTCGACTTTGAGTCCAGAAAAATCCATCCTTTTTTATAAAGTTAATCACTTTATCATTATACAGACATCAAAAGTGTTCATATTGTCGTGCCCCATCACGGGGCGAAACGACGAAATACATGCAGACCTGTTTGCTATGGACGTGTTGAATTCGCTTGTTTCGTGGAAGGTGGATGGTTATCATTTTTAAAGCATCTGCGTCATGCATCACTCGTTTTTATATAAGTTGTTCCCAGGTGGTTCTTTTTCAATTAGATCGTTTGTTTAGTTTGCTTTTCGTCTTTTTATAATTTATGGAGTAAGGGCCAAAGCAATTGCGGTCCATCTATTTTTTTTTAGATGTACTTAATGTCAAGAAGTATATAATACTTGTAAATTTTCAAAGTTTTCAATGAGAGGTGAAGTTTCATTCAAAAAATAACTGTCAGAACTCAGATTAAAAATTATCATTTCAGGATAGACTTATTAATGTTTTTAGTGTGAAATTAATTTCGTTTATCAATAAGTTTCTGTGAGTCTTTCTAAAAATTTCATATCGTTCAAGTCATTATCTCTCATTTGCTGTTATTACTGTTTGACTCATTATTGCTGATTGTATTTTCTGTTGCAGGTAGCTGATCTCCGTGGCATTCATTCGTCCTGCAACTATTTGTCTGTGTAACACATGCATGTTATAATGATCTTTTCGCCTTTGGGTTTTTGCTCCAGTCATTTTTTTCTCAGCTTTGGACCAATGTAATATTTTGGTTTCCGAACTTGATTTAAATTCTGATTAAATGGTAAAAAAATTTTAGACCGTAGCAGTGTAGTTCATTTATTGGGAGTTTTGTATGATAGTTATTTTCGTCACAATATGCTTTTAATTACATGTAATATGCCGAGTTTTATGCATTTTGCTGCGAAAATTTCTGATCAATCATCGGAATTTCAAACATGTATGACTGTTGCAAAACCTCCATTGTTATAAGTCTATTTATATTTGTGAAATAAAGTTGTCTCTGAGTTTTAATTAATCGTACTTGGTTAAATTTTGAACTGCGTTCTTCTTGATCCCAGTAATGCAACTTGCATTCCTTTTCATATCATTTTCAGTGTTGTAAAATTTTAAATTTGTGGTACTGTTTATGCACGAAAGATCGATCCCGATTACCATTAAATCGTCGAGTGTAACTTGTTCGGTTATAGATTTGTCAGATATACTCTGACAATACTTTTCCTACTGCTGATTCATTCATTTGAAATCATGAACACGTTTTATATCAGTTTACTCACATAACTCAAGAATATGAGATCATCTGAAGATTTTTTTGCTACATTGCCTACGTTTATTTCTGCTAAATATGCTTCCAGAATTTTGCTCCGAATATATATTCGCCCTATACTTGTTTTACATTTAATACTTCAAAATCTCGCATGTATACTGATTGATTTATGAATTCTTGATTTTCCTTTCTTTTCCATTGAGTGATCATGCATTTCTCAGTACAATCAACAACATTTACTGCTGATAACTGGTTTCGCTGCTATGAAACATGTGTCTAAAATTATCACAGCTAAGAATGATTTCTTGAAAAATTTGCATTCGAAAATACGCCATTATCTGAAGAAAGAAACGTAGTTTGCTACGGCTTACAGATTTAATCGCAGTATGCTTGATTCAAACTAGATATTTGTGAAATTATTTGTTGAAGTTAGAACAGAAATGCTGAAAAATAAAACTGAAAATGCAAGTGTCATGATAAACTTATACTTGTGAAATGCAATCGTAACTATTAATTGTCGACTTGGAATGCACTGATAAACATTTTCAAGCAACATTCCTCTCATCGGACATATCAATAATACCAAATGTAGTGGAAGACTTTCTTCAAACTGAAAGTTCTGAAGAATTAGAGCACTTTTCATTACCGAAATATGCAGATCTTTAAAATATGCTCAGTTATCACGCATAAGTATTTAGTATTTACTTTTAAACTTCTATCACCAACATAATGAAACAATTATGTAAGCACAATATAAAAGTATTATTGTTATGTGGTCACAATTTGAAAATAGTACGAAATCGCTCATTAAAGCAATGTTGAATTGTGGATGCACATCGATACGCGGGCATTTTCACCTATATTATACCGTATTTTTTGATAAAATCGTTTAATATTGATAGATTACTATTAACAAACGATAATAGTGCAAGCATATGAAAAAGTATTCATTGAACTCTTTTAAAAAATTTTTAACTATTTGTCTTACGAAAAATCTTCATGCATACATTAGTGCAAATCATAACGATTAAATTGAACCGAATAAGAAGTAATACACTCTGTGTGCTGATGAATTCTTGAGTAATGCAATTAAATGAAATACAGTCATGCATCATTGCTCGTTTCCCTCTTTTTTCTTCCTGAGACTGCTTGTTGAATATAATTACCTAAGATTACATCTTTCATATTTTTTCGAAAAAGAAAACATTGATATGAGAAATGCCTTATTTTGTTAACTTGCTAATTCTTTACAACATGATCATAATAAAAGTTTACGTTTATGTGCAGACTTTTAAATATTTTTTTCAATTTGTGAGTCCTTGCAAATTGAGGCATTTTTTTTCGTCAAAAAAAAACGTCTCTTTTTTGCATTTTAATTCGGTAAAATCAATAAAATAAAATAATCATAAAAAATGAAAACTTAAGCAAGCAATTACAATTATTTTGAGTATACGAATTCATTTTTGAAGGCATATTGTAAACTGGAGTATTTGAATTTATTACGGCTCTCTAATACTCTCATTCAATTTTGCTTTGATATATTGAAAGTGATGATGCATTGCGAAAATAAAATTACATGATTTTGGTGTTTTGAGAAAACCAGATTTACATTTGTCATTTCATACTTAATTTTGATTTTTGAATATTGGACTGCTTAAATCAACTTTTCAATCATTTCTGATCAAATTAAATTAAATGAAAGAGAGGAAAGATTTCAAATTAGTATTTGTTAATCAGCAAATTATGATAATATATTGTATTAAAGTTTGATCGTAAAACGTAACAGAGCTAAAATGATTGCTCTACTGTATAACCAAAACGATCATATCTGATTCGAACAATAATTATGCTTATAGCGATTGTGAGAAGTTTTAAGTTGTAAATACTAAGATAATTAACAAAATCTTTATTCTTTCAAGTAGCACAGTATAAAGATTACTTATTAATGAAATTTGCTTTCATAATGTAAGCTTTATTTTGCAGCTTCAGTGATCAATCGAGCGTAGAGAATACAGTGGAGATAATAGTTTATTTAGTTAGTGTGCGCAAAAATTTTGCATTGATAGAAGAATAATTGCTATAAAAGAAGTTAAAACGAAATTAATGAGAAATTTATTATTGGTAAGATAAATGATCGAGAGGAAAAGAATTGAGTTGATAGACAATTCAAGCTTTGGATCATTTTTCTTGAACAGAAATCCACCGCATATCTCCACGTTTTTCTGCTTAATATCCAGGAGCTGTTCTAGGTGGTGGGCAATGATCACAGCTACCTTTTGGTCCTTCTGGACCAGCTTCACCTTGCTCACCGTTTGGACCATCTTGTCCTGGAATGCCATCTTTACCATTTGCACCTGGTGCACCACGTGGTCCTTGACGTCCTGGGTTGCCATCACGTCCAGCTGGACCTTGTTCACCTGGTGGTCCTTGTGGGCCAGGAGGACCGGCTGGTCCTGGTGGTCCAGGAACCTGAGATATGATGTGTAAAAAAGAAATAAGATATCTTCATTTTGAGCTTTGATCATACAAAAAGCAAAGCATTAAAATTTGGTTTTAGAAAAAAAAGCAAACCTCAGTTTGTACTCCTGGTTTCCCTGGTTCACCAGCTGGACCTGGATTTCCTCGAGGTCCATTTGGTCCTTTCGGTCCTTGTGGTCCTGGTGCGCCTGGTTCACCGGGTTGTCCATTGGGTCCGTTATCTCCTGGTAATCCTCTGGGTCCCTTTGGTCCTGGTTTACCTCGTGGGCCTGGTGGTCCTTCTGGACAATTGAAGCACCAGTCTTTGTCAGTTGGCTGAAAATTTTTAATTTCTTTACTTCGTTCTGTAGATTTTTGGGAAAATCTTGCTACGAAATTGCTTCTTATTTTGAAAATCAAGAGTTAAATTTGTTTTCAATGTAAAATTTATTGAGATTAAATGTGGATGATGATAGAACATGCTGAAACTTACTCGTTGGTCTTCTTCAGCATCTTGACCAGGTGCACCAGGCTTGCCAGGTATTCCATCGCGACCATCATCACCATCAGGACCAGGTGCTCCTGGAGGACCAGCTTCACCAATGCCGCAACTACAACATTCGAAGACTGTTTGCCTTTTTTGCCTTTCACTCTTCAGTGTTGCGCGTGAAGTTTCAAGCTAAATTTCAACAAACTGTAAAATCTTGAGAAGCAAATTTCTCAATTGGGCAAAATTAATTGGTTCTTCAACTACATTATATTTCATCAAACAAGTTTAGAGTGCATTAAAATTGTTTAGAATCTGAAAATGTTCAAGAACTACTCTTTTATTTAATTACTTTTTTATGCAGATAAATGAGTAGAGAAT